TTTTAGCTGGCTAGCTAATCATCTTAGCTAAATGTGGGGCAAACAATTCAGTTATTTACCGTTAATTTGAGGGATTGGGGTGAAAGAAATCGAGTTACATAGTGATACTTTACGATATACTGTATTGACAATATCGCAATATTTTAGCGCTAGTTGGCTGTACCTGCACCAAAACACCATTATTGTTCCTTCATAGCTTGTTCTCAATCTTTTCACATTGGGAGCCAATTTGTTTTCAGCACTTTTATTTCCATGACTGATCAAAACTCGTTCTCATGGCTTTCTGATCCCTCTGCAACAGACATATGGTGCGCAATAAAATCACAGTATCGAATCGCAATACGTATAGAATCATGAGACTCGCAATGCTGATGCATATATCTTATCGTGAGGTTCCTGGCAATTCCCAGCCCAAGTTCATTTGCCACAACAAATCTCTTCGCTAGCAAACGCGATGTCTTCTCCAAAACGGCAATGTGTCTCCAGCAATGTTTACTTTTTTGACGTTCTATGGCATCTCCACTTTCCAAGCATATATGACCACATGTAATATTTTGGTAAGTGATGCAAATAGTGAACTATGTAGGGCCAGGATGTAAAATATATGTAGCTGCAGCAATTTCTCTTATCTGATATGGTAAGTAATGGGGCTTAATTTATAGCTCCCTAAGAGTTTGACGAACGGGTCCGTGCACGCGATTCCAGATATCTTTACCTCTGAATAAACTGCCTTTATTATACCATATCCACCCTGTCCAAAGTCTCTACTTGGTCTCAGTTCTCCAGTAAACTTGTGATTATCAACACTAACCTCATCGTTGTGGCGGCGGACAGCTAGCCTGTATCCCTCATCAAGTTGAGTGGCAATGTTATTTTTCCGTTCGTACCAATTTTTGGAAAATCCTCGGGTGTAGGACTTTCCGCCTTTAGTAGAAACCTGTTGAATTATTAAATTTGGTCTGGGAGGTCCTAATTGTTTCGTTGCCAATTTATCTTCATTTGTTCGCCGACAAAAAGGAACTTATTTCAAAGACACAATCCGCTCTTTTCTCAGTTACGTTCATGGTTACGTTACGTTACGTATGACGAAAGCGCGTAAGTGCAAGCCCTCAGACACCCATAGAGATTGTATTGAAGGCTCTGAAATTTGAAAAAAATAGATTTTACATTAGAGGCTATGAGAGACTTCTGGGCGATTTTCAACCTGACTGAAATCGCCCCAAAAGGGGGGGGAGCCATTTGAAGCACGACTTTAGCCTGATTCGACATTTAGTGGCAGTGTGGCACTGTGGCAGATCAGACGTATAGATTACAACACTGATAACTACTGTTGCCGTGATATAATTGATTAGAAAAAAAATCCCTTCCTTTTCCCGTTTGGCAGTGCGTCGCCCATATCGCCCTATTGAACAGGCCGCCCCTGAGTTCTGGACGCTGTCTTAGTTATTGATGTTAAAAAGTCCACTGGGGAAGACATTCTTGACCCGTGTCTTCTACCACTTGCTACACCTCTGATTGTGGAACCCTTGACACATATTTTTTCTCTATCCATTCTCTTGGGTATTATTCTTAAGGTGTTGAAGGTGGCCCTTGATCTCCCGCTCCACAAAGGTGATGGTCCCTGCTATCTTCGTAATTCTCGCCCAATCACCAAACTTTCATGTCTAGTGAAAATATTAGAAGTCTCTGTAAATTCTCAGCTGCGGTCCTTTTTTTAAATGGAAAATGTATTCTGAATGCTCACCAGCCATGCTTTAGGCTAGGACACTGCACCATCTCGGCTGCTTCTCTAGTCATAAATGACATGGTTAATGCACTCGACAGGAAACAGCACTCCACTGCCCTTTATATTGATCTGTTGAAAGCATTTGATATGGTTGATCATGTACTCCTGCTACGGAGGCTATCCGAAATTGGTCTAGACCAAGTGGCCTGCAGCTGGTTCAAAAATTACCTGCACAACAGAAGTAAATTTACACGGAGTCTACAAAACATTAGGAACACCTTCCTAATATTGAGTTGCACCCCCTTTTGTCCTCAGAACAGCCTCACTTCGTCAGGGGATGGAATCTACAAGGTGTCGAAAGCATTCCACAGGGATGCTGGCCCATGTTGACTCCAATGCTTCCCATAGTTGTGTCAAGTTGGCTGGATGACCTTCGGGTTGTGGACCATTCTTGATGCACATGGGAAACTGTTGAGTGTGGAAAAACCCATCAGCGTTGCAGTTCTTGACACAAACCGGTGCGCCTGGCACCTACTTCCATACTCCGTTCAAAGGCACTTAAATATTTTGTCTTGCCCATTCACCCTCTGAATGGCACACATACACAATCCATGTCTCAATTGTCTCAAGGCTTAAAAATCATTCTTTAACCTGTCTCCTCCCCTTCATCTACAGTGATTTGAAGTGGATTTACAAATGACAGCAATAAGGGATCATAGCTTTCACCTGGATTCACCTGGTCAGTCTATGTCATGGAAAGAGCAGGTGTTTCTAATGTTTTGTACACTCAGTGTCTATCTGCTGATGGAGTTCAGTATATTTTTCTTAACATAACCAAAGGAGTGCCACAAGGCTCAATACTATTCCTTTCACTATTTACATGAATAATGTTGGGTTGTCCCTGAATAATAATAATAACGGGCTTACATCTCTATGAGGATTGGTTATTAATTCATGTGCCCCGTCAGTGCAGCAGGACATTCACGACCCTCAGCTTGGCTTTGATTCAATTCAAGAATCGCTCACCGATCTTAAATTAGTGCTAAATGTTGATAAAACCAAGTTTATGTTTTTCTCCAGGTCTTGTGAAATTGATCCTAAAGACCTGCGTATCTGTACCTTCAGAGGATCCCAAATTGAGCATTGTCCCCCATTGTAAGCATCTAGGTATTTGGATTGACGATAAGTTGTCCTTTAAAACACACATTGATAAGCTGACTAAAAAGTTATTGGTTTCCTGTATAGAAAAAAATCCTGTCTCACTTTTGAAAATAGAAGGAAGATTGTTCAACCAACACTCCTCCCAGTAATTGACTATGGCGACGCCATCTACATGCATGCGGCAGCCTCTGTGTTAAAACCTCTAGATTCAGTCTACCACTCAGCCTTGGGTTTTATCACCGGTGATCATTTCTGTACGCATCATTGTCTCTTATATAGTTCTGTTGGCTGGGAGTCTCTGACTACCAGAAGGGCCCAACACAGGCTATTATTCATATGTAAAGCACTTCTCCAGAAACTCCCAAACTACCTCACTTCTAAATTGGAAGTTTAGTAACAATAACACTCTCTCTAGACTGGATGGTACAAGATGTTCCACAGGGACTCTTCTGAGTGAGCTAAGACTGCTTTCAGTCACTATGCCCCTTATTCCTGGAATGACCTACAGGTCACTCTAAAATTTGATTATTTGGTCCCAAAAGGTGAATTTAGGGTGCTGATTTAAAAGATGTGACTAATGAGAACTGCACTTGTTTTGATTAATTGCATATATTTGTTTCTACTGCCGGTTTGAATGTAACGTATCACATTATTAAAACCTCTGCTTTAAAGCTGTGCAGTTTCAACCCGTTTATCTACTGAAGAAGAGAGAAGAATAGCAGGAAATGATTTGATTCTGTATGTACACTATCAGTCAAGTTTGGACACCTACTCATTCAAGGGTTTTTCTTCATTTGTACTATTTTTTTACATTGTAGAATAATAGTGAAGACATAAACACTATGAAATAACACATATGGAATCATGTACACTACCGGTCAAACGTTTTAGAACACCTTCTCATTCAAGCGTTTTTCTTTATTTGTACTATTTTCTACATTGTAGAGTAATAGTGAAGACATCAAAACAAACCATCAAGCGCTATGTTGAAACTGGCTCTCATGAGGACCGCCACAGGAAAGGAAGACCCAGAATTACATCTGCTGCAGAGGATAAGTTCATTAGAGTTACCAGCCTCAGAAATTGCAGCCCAAATATATGCTTCACAGAGTTCAAGTTACAGACACATCTCAACATCAACTGTTCAGAGGAGACTGTGTGAATCAGGCCTTCATGGTCGAATTGCTGCAAAGAAACCACTACTAAGGGACACCAATAATAAGAAGAGACCTGCTTGTGCCAAGAAACATGAGCAATGGACATTTGACCGGTGGAAATGTGTCCTTTGGTCTGGAGTCCAAATTTGAGAATTTTGGTTCCAACTGCCGTGTCTTTGTGAGACGCGGTGTGGGTGAACAGATGATGAACCAATTTTTTGGTTACTACATGAGTCCATATGTGTTATTTCATAGTTTTGATGTCTTCACTATTATTCTACAGTGTATAAAATAGTTTTTTTTTTAAATGAGTAGGTGTGTCCAAACGTTTGACTGGTACTGTATGTGTGTGTTAGTATGTTTTAGTGTCTGGTGATGATGGTAAGCTCTTTTGGCAAGATATTTTATTCAGACAAATAAATAAGGTATTTAAATTGACTTGATTTACTGCAATAAGCAAATTAAACTATAAATATCATAACAAGCAAACAATCAAGACATATTTGACATTATTGTTGTTATCCACTGATAGTCATTCATATCCCATGACGTGCATTCACATGGCTGTATAAACTGAGGCAGCTATTGCAGTGCATTAACAGGTATAGAATACTGTCACAGCAAAAAGGTGAAGTAGATGGAACGCCATTTCCAATTTCAGCCAGCAGCATACATGCTCTCCCCATTAGGTGGCACAATCGCTGCTTTTTTCCATCACCAATTCTCATCAGCCAAACCAATGGAGTCAGTTCCTTGAGCAAGTCCATGAAAACACTGCATTGTACTGTATACTGGTGTCACCCTAAAATGTGTCCTCTCCTCTTGACTTCAAGACCATCAAAGATCAAGAAACAGTTAACATAGTACAGTTTATCCAGGTTCCTCTTTCCTCAGAATCAAAGAACAGGAAACTCAAAAATAGTTTGTCCAATCCAGTCTCTCTACACGCTGTCGCTCTAATAAGGATGCCCTCTGAGACTGAGTCTGACCTGTTTGGGGGCTGTGTGCCCCCGTCCCAGACAGGGCGTCAGGGACCTGCGGAGCTCCAGACGGGCGTCCTGACACAGGAAGATGTAGAACAGAGGGTTCAGGAGGGTGTTGAGGCTCGTCAGGCTGTAGCACAGCCGGTAACACAGGAAAATGGACCGCTCGAACTCGGAGGGGTCGTCTATGAGGAGCAGGGAAATGAAACGGTACCCCCCCGACGAGGTGGTAGGGTCCGAAGACGACGATGACGGTGATGATGACGAGGATGCCTGTGATTTTGTGATGGCCCTGGTCGGAGACGGATGGCGAGTGTTGAAGAGTCACACCTATGCGGGCAGAAGTGTAGCTGTAAGGGGAGGGTGCGGGAGAGCGATACAGAGGTCAAAGGTCATGTCAGATAAATACAGTTGAAGTCGGAGGTTTACATACACTTAGGTTGTCATTAAAACTCTATTTATTTATTTTTGTCATTAAAACTCGTTTTTCAACCACTCCACACATTTCTTGTTAACAAACTATAGTTTTGGCAAGTTGGTTAGGACATCTACTTTGTGCATGACACAAGTCATTTTTCCAACAATTGTTTACAGACAGATCATTTCACTTATAATTCACCGTATCACAGTTCCAGTGGGTCAGAAGTTTACATACACTAAGTTGACTGTGCCTTTAAACAGCTTGGAAAATTCCAGAAAATGATGTCATGGCTTTAGAAGCTTCTGTTAGGCTAATTGACATCATTTCAGTCAATTGGAGGTGTACCTGTGGATGTATTTCAAGGCCTACCTTCAAACTCAGTGCCTCTTTGCTTGACATCATGGGAAAATCAAAAGAAATCAGCCAAGACCTCAGAAAAAATATTGTAGACCTCCACAAGTCTGGTTCATCCTTGGGAGATATTTCCAAATGCCTGAAGGTACCACGTTCACCTGTACAAACAATAGTACGCAAGTATAAACACCATGGGACCACGTAACCGTCATACCGCTCAGAATGGAGACGTGTTCTGTCTCCTAGAGATGAACGTACTTTGGTGCGAAAAGTGCAAATCAATCCCAGAACAACAGCAAAGGACCTTGTGAAGATGCTGGAGGAAACAGGTACAAAAGTATCTATATCCACAGTAAGATGAGTCCTATATCAACATAACCTGAAAGGCCGCTCAGCAAGGAAGAAGCCACTGCTCCAAAACCGCCAGACTACGGTTTGCAACTGCACATGGGGAAAATATCTTACTTTTTGGAGAAATGTCCTCTGGTCTGATGAAAAAAAAATAGAACTGTTTGGCCATAATGACCATCGTTATGTTTGGAGGAAAAAGGGGGTTATTGCAAGCCGAAGAACACCATCCCAACCGTGAAAAACGGGGGTGGCAGCATCATTGTCACGATCGTCATACATAGAGGAGGAGGACCAAGGCGCAGCGTTGAATGTGAACATATTATTTATTTGAATGATCACCCGATCAAAACAACGACGTGACAGTCGACGGTCAATACACAACCAAACACGAACAAAAACCCACAACACCCACAGGAAAACATACAGATTAAATATGGCTCCCAATCAGAGATAACGAGCCGACAGCTGACACTCGTTACCTCCGATTGGGAGTCATTGACCAAACATAGAAATGCACCCAACAGAAATACAAACATAGAAATACACCCAAATAATGAACACACCCTGGCTCACTATACAGAGTCCCGGAGCCAGAGCGTGACAGTACCCCCCCCTAAAGGCGCGGACTGCGACCGCGCCTCAATACGGGCTAAACAAGGGAGGGCTGGGTGGGCACACCTCCTCGGCGGTGGCTCTGGCTCCGTCCTTGATCCCCACCTCCTCTCCAACCCCCCAAAGTACCCCTGGTCCTGTCCAGCCCCGCTGGCCGGAGCCGGACCGACGACACGCGCCCCTGGCCTGATGCGTGGAGGAGGAACGGGCCGGACCGGGCTGACGACGCGCACCACTGACCTGGTGCGGGGAGCTTGGATGGGCCGAACTGGGCTGGCGACGCGCACCACAGACTTGGTGCGGAGAGCAGGAACGGGCCGGACAGGGCTGACGAAACGCACCACAGACTTGGTGCGGAGAACAGGCACGGGCCGTGCCGGACTGACGCCGCACCCCACTGGCTTGGTGTGGGGAGCAGGAGCGGACCGAGCCGGGCTGTCGAAGCGCACCCCTGACTTGGTGCGGGGAGCAGGAACGGGACGAGCCGGGCTGGCGACGCGCACCACAGACCTGGTGCGGAGAGCAGGAACGGGCAGAGCCGGGCTGACGAGACGCACCACAGACTTGATGCGGGGAGCAGGAACGGGCCGGACTGGACTGACGACGCACACCACTGGCTTGGTGCGGGAAGCTTGGATGGGCCGGACTGTACTGGGGACACACACCACTGGCCCCACACCGGGATCTGGAACGGGCCGGACCGGACTGGCAACACACGCCAGTACCTCTCGCCGTGCCTCCACTTCCTCCATCCCCTCTTTGACCAGTGGCCCCCGTAACCCGGCGGCCTTCTCCAGCAACCCACTGGGCCGCTCTATCGCGGCCTCCTGCTGGTCCGACGTCTCGAGCCCCCCCCTAAAAATTTTCGGGGCGTCTCTCCTACCCGTGGACCAGGTCTCCATAGACCTCGCCAGCCTCTCGCCCTTCTGCCATAGCGTCAAGCCCTTCTCCTCCTCACTCGGCTTGACCCAGTCCAGGAGGCGAAGGAGATCTGTGAGGGATCTCCCTGGCGACGGCTCCTGGACACGCTGCTTGGTCCCATCTTGGTGGGTTTTTCTGTCACGATCGTCATACATAGAGGAGGAGGACCAAGGCGCAGCGTTGAATGTGAACATATTATTTATTTGAATGATCACCCGATCAAAACAACGACGTGACAGTCGACGGTCAATACACAACCAAACACGAACAAAAACCCACAACACCCACAGGAAAACATACAGATTAAATATGGCTCCCAATCAGAGATAACGAGCCGACAGCTGACACTCGTTACCTCCGATTGGGAGTCATTGACCAAACATAGAAATGCACCCAACAGAAATACAAACATAGAAATACACCCAAATAATGAACACACCCTGGCTCACTATACAGAGTCCCGGAGCCAGAGCGTGACAATCATGCTGTGGGGGTGCTTTGCTGCAGGAGGGACTGGTGCACTTCACAAAATAGATGGCATCATGAGGAAGGAAAATTATGTGGATATATTGAAGCAACATCTCAAGACATCAGTCAGGAAGTTAAAGCTTGGTCGCAACTGGGTCTTCCAAATGGACAATGACCCCAAGCATACTTCAAAAGTTGTGGTAAAATGGCTTAAGGACAACAAAGTCAAGGTATTGGAGTGGCCATCACAAAGCCCTGACCTCAATCCTGTAGAACATTTGTGGGCAGAACTGAAAAAGCGTGTGTGAGCAAGGAGGCCTACAAACCTGACTCAGTTACACCAGCTCTGTCAGGAGGAATGGGCCAAAATTCACCCAACTTATTGTGGGAAGCTTGCAGAAGGCTACCCGAAATGTTTGACCCAAGTTAAACAATTTAAAGGCAATGCTACCAAATACTAATTGAGTGTATGTAAACTTCTGACCCACTGGGAATGTGATGAAATAAATAAAAGCTGAAATAAATATTCTCTTTACTATTATTCTGACATTTCAGATTCTTAAAATAAAGTGGTGATCCTAACTGACCTAAGACAGGGAATTTTTACTAGGATTAAATGTCAGGAATTGTGAAAAACTGAGTTTAAATGTATTTGGCTAAGGTGTATGTCAACTTCCGACTTCAACTGTAGGTTAGATGTGACTTTTTAACAAGACTCCTCTCATTGACGCATACTTCTGCATGTAATGTGACAAAATGTTAATATAAAGTTGTTCGTAGTGTTAACTTCATATTTATAAAAGTATTATCGATTGACACATACAGACGAAGTGTTATTGAAAAACATGAAAGAGAAAACACATTTTGCAGAGTGTAGGCCACACTCCATTTCTTTATGCAATCACACATAACATGTCAGCCAAGCATAATTCATACTCCGTTTCCCACTCACCCCAGTATACCACAGGGCAGCAGGAACCTCAGGACGACCGTAGCGTACATATCTGAGGCTGACAGGGTACTGCTCCAGACACAACAGCTTCTCTGCATCAAACACTGACGGAAGATGCCCGCCCAAATAGAACAGGAAGGTCAGCATCCTGACCGCCACCCCCGCCACCGCCGCCACCCGCACCGTCCGCATGCCACGACTAGTCAACGAGTGAACTATCGCCAGGCAACGGTTCAGCGCGATGAGACAGAGGAAAACCACGCTAGCGTAGACATTGACGTAGAAGACACAGCCCACGAATTCGCAGACGGGGTGGCCGTAGGGCCAGCGGTGTGCCCCCTGGAGCTAGAGGATCTAGAGGGGGAGGGTGAGGAGGTCAGAGAGCAGCAGGAGGATGTAGACCAGCTGACAGCCACCCCCGCCGGAGCGGCCCAGTTGGGACAGCAGGTTGCAAGGGAGACCCAGTGAGAAGGCCAGGCTGTAGATGTAGGTGAGACCAAGTGTGTCGGTGTTCCCCAGCTGCTTAGTGTGCACCACAAAGTGACTGCGTCTGCTGTTGAAGGAACACTGCATCTTCACCCTCTGGGCCGTGTCTATTCTCTGATTGTTTCCCTAGACAGGAAGCCCACTTTTCCAGGCTTTAAGGGTAACATCCTGAGAACCCCTTTCTCTTCCTGAACAAAAACACTCACTCCTCTCCTCCCTCTCCTTCCTCTCCTCCCTCTTTCTCCCTCTTCCCTCATTTTCTCACCGTTAGAGGAGGAAAAAAGTGAAAAGGAGAGGGGTGTTTTGAGTGTAGGGAAGGAAGGGAAAAATTCTAAGTGCTTTATGGATGATATTCTTCTAACAATCTAAGAATTTGTAACCATTTCATGGTTGGAGAAACTAAGGCAAAACATTTGAGAAAAAAATATTTGTCTTCTCTTAAACAATGCATGCCTCTTGCTGCATGCCTGTGTGTGTGTGTGTGTGTTTCTGTGTCAGAAAGCAGAGATATCAGGCCGCAGAGGCTATGTGATGAGAGGATCAGCCTCTGCACCGGAGAAGGAGGAGGAAGCAACTGACAGGCTGAGATTACAGCCTAACAAAGAGACAGTGTAAACTCAACACTCAACACGCAACACGAAACACTCAACAGAAGTTAATGGACCAAGGAGAGAGTGTAATGTCAATTGACTCTATTCGGATGATAGTAATTACATCTTTATTGAGACTTCTTCCTAGGGCTTTTAGGTAGAAAAGTATGAGTATGACATATATTTTTCCTTTGAACAAACACATTTGTTCACTGTGTACAACTATTGGTGGTAAACAGTATAGTTGTTTGAGGAGAATGGGAGTGTGAGACAATGGTGGCTAGGCTGTATTTTTAACACATGCTATCATAGAGAGATTTCCTTTCTTATGTCACCAGACTGAAATCCAATATGTAAGATGAAGTTCCAAGGCACCACATTCCCTAAGGGAAGTCTGAATATAAATAACTTTTCATCCGTTTTTATTGAATCATGTACTTCCTTTTAATGTTATTATGAATTTATGGTGGACTTTGGAGTTATTTTTTTAATTTGTAAAAATATCTTAATGAAGTATTTTCTGAGGATTCATTTGAGCAATTTTTAAAATCGTTGACAGAAATTGGCAATTGATGGTCAAATACGTACAACATCTAAAATACCCATCTTGGCCAATCTTTAGATGCATGTCTCTCACTCCAGCTTGGTCTTCCTCCTGGAGCTCCTGCAGCACAGCCTGCTGCAGACAGAGACTGAGGCCCAGAGAGAGGCTCCGCTGAGGGCCATGAGCAGCGCCGCCACGTCCAGGCTGTGGTAGGAGTACCAGGGCATGCTGTAGGCTTCGGTGCGCAAGTGGGACGCTCCGCCGTTCCTCATCACGTACTCAATCCAGAAGGTGGCACTGGCGAGCGGGGACAGGGGCGTGTCGCGGTGCAGGCCAGAGAGCTTCTGCATGTTGTGGCGGTAGGAGGGATTCTCCAGCACGTCCCTTAGGGCCTCCAGGAAGTCCTCTGTGGTGAGAGTGGCGGCCTCCAGCACCCGTGCCGCCCCGCGCACCTGCAGCCGCAGGATGTTGTCAAACTGGTCGAAGAGGAGCGGCAAACCCAGCACAGGGACCCCGTGGTAAATGGCCTCATACAGGCCGTTGGTGCCTCCGTGAGCCACGAAGGCGCGGGTCTTGGGGTGGCCCAGGAGGTCGTTCTGGGGGAGCCAGTCCAGTAGCAGGGTGTTGTTCCCCAGGGAAGAGGGTCTTTCTCCCAGGAACCTCCACACCACCTTGTGGGGCAGCTGGGCAAAGGCTTGGGCCACCGCCTCGGTTACCTCCTTAGGCAGGGCAGACACCAGCGTTCCCAGAGACATGACTACCACCCCGTGCTCTACAGAGCTCTGCATGAAGGCCTCCAGGTCAGCAGGGAGCGGCTCGGCCGGATGGCACTGGAAGCCCCCCACATAGACCACGTTGGGCATGGTGGGCCGCGGGAACTCAAAGACAAAGTCCACCCGCATCAGCCACACGTCTGCCGAGCGCTGCATGGAGAGCAGGTCAGCACCAGGGGGGAAGTGACGTCGAAGCAGGTCGACGTAGAGTGGCTGGATGACCAGGTGCTCCTGGAGGAGGATGGCCAGGTAACGCAGGAAGTTCTCTGTCCTCTGCAGGAGGTCCATATTATCGCTGAAAAGCGAGTTGTACATTGGGACATAGGATGGCAGCGTGGGGGCAACAGTCATGTGGGCCTCGCCCGCATTGAGCCAGCGGACATTATAAACCATGGGTATGCCCAGGTATTGGGCCAGGAGCACCCCAGCAGGGAAGGCAGGGTCGGTGAGCATCAAGTCGAATCTGGACTCCCTCAGTTTGGCGACGAGGTCCGAGTCATCCAAGATGGCGGAGATCATGCAGAGCGCCCCGCCGTGAAACATCATCAACATGGCCGCCGTGTCCTTCTGCTGCTCTAGGAAACGGCGGACTGGAAACATCCTGCGCCGTTTCAGCGAGCGCTGCATCAGGACGGTGTAGAAGTCAGGACCGAGGTCCTCGCCCGGCGGAGGAGGAGCAGGGTTCACGGTGATGGAGGTGTAGACAGGGGAATTCTGGGGGATGTACCAGCTCTTGGCGGAGCGTAGCACGGTGAGGTCGTGACCTCTGGAGTGGAGCTCTCGGAGGATGACCTCCATGTTGAGCCAGTGGCTGCCATCCTCGGGGAAGACCAGGATTCTACCTCCCCCACTGCCATTACCGCGGCAACCCCAAACCAAGACGAGGAGGAGGAGGAGGCAGAGGATTGGTCGAAGGACCGCCGCTGTTCCACCGCACATGCCCATAACGTCATTGAAGCTGGGAACAAACAAGAAGAAAATAACAACATATTTGTTTACGATCTCAGGAAAATGTTCTCTCTTCTCTGTGATAGTATATGTTATATTTAGAAAATGTATACAATAGAAATTATTTGATTTCATTAGCATTTTTAGCATACAGAATGCAAGGAATAAGAAAGAGATTACATGGTCTGACTATAAAGTAGCTTTGTCGAGGTATTGTATTTTCTGTGCAAAAGAAATTCTGTAGTCGACACGCCAGCCTCTGCAATTGGCAGATCCCCAAATGTCCACTGAGTTATTATCTAAAGCTGTACATGCTGAATCACTAGATACAAATGTTATGAATGAAGGGAGGGGGACATTTTCTGACATTGTGTGGAAACAGTATTCCCATGTTTTGCTACAGTGAGAAGGTAGGCCTAAATTCCTTTTCCTTTGCAATTTGCGGGTTAGGCTTCTGTTGAATCATGAGAATAGACAACATTCCTTTGAATGCATTTGATTTATCAAGCTAGAGTTTCAAATTTGATTAGACCTTTTTGATGCTTTCAACTGCATTTTCCAGTTATTTAAATTGTTGATATGGAAATGTCATTAGAACCTTATTTATTATATACAGTACCAGTCAAAGATTTGACACACCTACTCATTCAAGGGTTTTTCTTTATTTGTACTATTTTCTACATTGTAGAATAATAGTGAAGACATCAAAACTATGAAAAAAACACATATGGAATCATATAGTGACCAATAAAATGTTAAACAAATCACAATATATTTTATATTTGAGATTCTTCAAAGTAGCCACCCTTTGCCTTGATGACAGCTTTGCACATCTTGGCATTCTCTCAACCAGCTTCATGAGGTAGTCACCTGGAATGCATTTCAATTAACAGGTGTGCCTTGTTAAAACTTAATTTGTGGAATTTCTTTCCTTCTTAATGCGTTTGAGCCAATCAGTTTTGCTGTGACAAGGTACAGGGGGTATACAGAAGATAGCCCTATTTGGTAAAAGTCCAAGTCCATATTATGGCAAGAACAGCTCAAATAAGTAAAGAGAAACGACAGTCCATCATTACTTTAAGACATGAAGGTCAGTCAATCCGTAAAATTTCAAGAACTTTGAAAGTTTCTTCAAGTGCAGTCGCAAAAACTTTCAAGCGCTATGATGAAACTGGCTCTCATGAGGACCGCCACAGGAACGGAAGACCCAGAGTTACATATGCTGCAGAGATAAGTTCATTACCACCCTCAGAAATTGCAGCCCAAATAAAGGCTTCACAGAGTTCAAGTAACAGACACATCTCAACATCAACTGTTCAGAGGAGACTGTGTAAACCAGGCCTTCATGGTCGAATTGCTGCAAAGAAACCACTACTAAAGGCCACCGATAAGAAGAAAAGACTTGCTTGGGCCAAGAAACACGAGCAATGGACATTAGACCAGTGGATATGTGTCCTTTGGTCTGGAGTCCAAATTTGAGATTTTTGGTTCCAACCGCTGTGTCTTGTGAGACGCGGTGTGGGTGATTGGATGATCTCCACATGTGTATTTCCCACCGTAAAGCATGGAGGAGGAGGTGTTATGGTGTGGGGGTGCTTTGCTGGTGACACTGTCTGTGATTTACTTAGAATTCAAGGAACACTTAACCAGCATGGCTACCATACGCCATCCCATCTGGTTTGGGCTTAGTGGGACTATCATTTGTTTTTCAACAGGACAATGACCCAACACACCTCCAGGCGGTGCAAGGGCTATTTTACAAAGAAGGAGAGTGATGGAGTGCTGCATCAGATGACCTGGCCTCCACAATCCCCCGACCTCAACCCAATTGAGATGGTTTGGGATGAGTCGGACTGCAGAGTGAAGGAAAAGCAGCCAACAAATGCTCAGCATATGTGGTAACTCCTTCAAGACTGTTGGAAAAGCATTCCAGGTGAAGCTGGTTGAGAGAATGCCAAGAGTTTGCAAACCTGTCATCAAGGCAAATGGTGTCTATTTGAAGAATCTAAAATCTTGGCATATTTAACCTCTACGGGATCGGTGTCCCGTATACGGGACGGTTGAGCTAACGTGCGCTAATGTGATTAGCATGACTGTTGTAAGTATCAGCAAACTTTCCAGGACATAGACATGTCTTATATGGGCAGAAGTATGAAATTCTTGTTATTCTAACTGCACTGTCCAATTTACAGTAGTTAGTACAGTGAAAAAATACAATGCTATTGTTTGAGGAGAGTGCACAACAACAAAAAACTGGCAACTGGTTTGATGCATTCACCTCTGAAGGTAAACAATGTACTTACATTCAGTAATATTGTTCTAATTTGTCATCCTAAGGGTCCCTGAGATAAAATGTGGCATAGTTTTATTTGATAAAATCTATTTTGATATTTAAATGTAGGAACTGGGTTCCACAGTTTGAACCCTGCTGTCTTTGGCTCCACACCCACCCCGCCCGGCCATCTATATGTGTGAAAGTTAGTGTATAAACTAATGATCCATCATGTATGACATTCCTGGGAGTGTGTAAACTTACATTTTGTATAACCATATCATTTTTGTATGTTCTCTATAGTTACGTACTTGAAAATGTATCAATTGACCAATTCGGCACATTTGGGCAGACTTGATACAAAATAGTCCAGTACTGCTATGCTTCACTTGATCAATCTTGAAACTTTGCACACACACTGCTTCCATCTAGTGGCCAAAATCTAAATTGCGCCTAAACTGCAATATTATATTGTGGCCTTTCTCTTGTATTTCAAAGATGATGGAACAAAAAAATTAATAGAAAACGCATGTTTTTTTGTTAGTATTATCTTTTACCAGATATAATGTGTTATATTCTCCTACATCCTGAGCTATAGGCAGTTAGATTTGGGTATGTCATTTTAGGCGAAAATTGAAAAAAAGGGTCCGATCCTTAAGAGTTTAACACTTTTTTGTTTACTACATGATTGCAAATGTGTTATTTCATAGTTTTGATGTCTTCAATATTATTCTACAATGTAGAAAATAGTAAAAATAAAGAAGAACCCTTGAATAAGTTGGTCTTCTAAAACCTTTGACCGGTAGTGTATGTCACTCTGGTTGTTGGAGCTGTTGGATCTGTTGTATGGTGAACTGGGGCTTCATCAAGGTTTGTTTGTGAGTAAATCTGGCTTTGATAATTGCCAGTGCTTACCCAGACACTGAACTCACCGCACATCATTGGTTTATAATGTTTATATACTGCCCTTCCCTGCTGCAAGACGTCACAGTTATAGAACACCATATACTCAACCCAGTGTCACAGATTACTGTGAAATAGACACAAGTTGCTTATTGGAAATACGTGACAGGCACACGAAAAAGTATATTAGACAGTAAGTTACTTAAGACAGAAAAGATAGGAGGGAGGGAGGTTGGGAGGATGGGTGGGTGGGTGGGCATATAACACGAATGTCTAGCAACCCATAGGTTCCGGATTGGTGCTGTATAACGCAAAAGTTTAGCAACCCGAAGGTTGCATGCTTGAATCGCATCACTGAAAACTTTAGCATTTTAGCTAATTAGCAACTTTGCAACTACTTACAGTGAGGGAAAAAAGTATTTGATCCCCTGCTGATTTTGTACGTTTGACCACTGACAAAGAAATGATCAGTCTATAATTTTAATGGTAGGTTTACTTTAATAGTGAGAGACAGAATAACAACAAAAAAATTAAGAAAAAAACGCATGTCAAAAATGTTATCAATTGATTTGCATTTTAATGAGGGAAATACGTATTTTACCCCCTCTCAATCAGAAAGATTTCTGGCTCCCAGGTGTCTTTTATACAGGTAACGAGCTGAGATTAGGAGCACACTCTTAAAGGGAGTGCTCCTAATCTAATTTTGTTACCTGTATAAAAGACACCTGTCCACAGAAGCAATCAATCAATCAGATACCAAACTCTCCACCATGGCCAAGACCAAAGAGCTCTCCAAGGATGTCAGGGACAAGATTGTAGACCTACACAAGGTTGGAATGGGCTACAAGACCATCGCCAAGCAGCTTGGTGAGAAGGTGACAACAGTTGGTGCGATTATTTGCAAATGGAAGAAACACAAAAGAACTGTCAATCTCCCTCGGCCTGGGGCTCCTTGCAAGATCTCACCTCCTGGAGTTGCAATGATCATGAGAACGGTGAGGAATCAGCCCAGAACTAGATGGGAGGATCTTGTCAATGATCTCAAGGCAGCTGGGACCATAGTCACCAAGAAAACAATTGGTATCACACTACGCCATGAAGGACTGAAATCCTGCAGCGCCCGCAAGGTCCCCCTGCTCTAGAAAGCACATATACAGGCCCGTCTGACGTTTGCCAATGAACATCTGAATGATTCAGAGGAGAACTGGGTGAAAGTGTTGTGATCAGATGAGACCAAAATCGAGCTCTTTGGCATCAACTCAACTCGCCGTGTATGGAGGAGGAGGAATGCTGCCTATGACCCCAACAACACCATCCCCACCGTCAAACATGGAGGTGGAAACATTATGCTTTGGGGGTGTTTTTCTGCTAAGGGGACAGGACAACTTCACCGCATCAAAGGGATGATGGACGGGGCCATGTACCGTCAAATCTTGGGTGAGAACCTCCTTCCCTTAGCCAGGGCATTGAAAATGGGTCGTGGATGGGTATTCCAGCATGACAATGACCCAAAACACACAGCCAAGGCAACAAAGGAGTGGCTCAAGAAGAAGCACATTGAGGTCCTGGAGTGGCCTAGTCAGACTCCAGACCTTAATCCCATAGAAAATCTGTGGAGGGAGCTGAAGGGTCGAGTTGCCAAACGTCAGCCTCGAAACCTTAATGACTTGGAGAAGATCTGCAAAGAGGAGTGGGACAAAATCCCTCCTGAGATGTGTGCAAACCTGGTGGCTAACTACAAGAAATGTCTGACCTCTGTGATTGCCAACAAGGGTTTTGCCACCAAGTACTAAGTCATGTTTGCAGAGGGGTCAAATACTTATTTCCCTCATTAAAATGCAAATCAATTTATAAAAATTTTGACATGCATTTGTCTGGATTTTGTTGTTGTTATTCTGTCTCTCACTGTTCAAATAAACCTACCATTAAAATTATAGACTGATCATGTCTTTGTCAGTGGGGAAACATACAAAATCAGTAGGGGATCAAATACTTTTTTCCCTCACTGTACATATTAGCTAACCCTTCCCATAACCCTAACCTTAACCCTTTAACCTAACTCCTAACCCTAACCTTAACCCTTTAACTACTTAGCCAGCAAGTCACCTAACCTTAACCCTTAACCCTAACCCCTAAACCTAACCCTAACCTTAACCCCTAACCCTAACATTATCCCCCTAGCTAGCCTAGCTAACGTCAGCCACAACAAATTGGAATTTGTGTAATGTACATGAATGCATTATGAAGAATGAAAATCGTGTTATACACACAAAATGCGTTGTGATTAAAATTGTGTAATACACTTGAAAAGTGGACTTTTTCAAAATATTTCAAAATATTTCCTTTGAAGCAAAATGCATGCATATTGGTTTCTTTTTGAAAGATTCTTATTCAAAGATTTTTACTATAACATTATATGTTAACTATGTGATGTTTTTGCCTAACAAGGCAATATAAACTATGGTAATGCAAACATACAAAACATATAGTGAGATACAATACATAGAGAGATACAATACATCTATCTCCTACCTCTTCAAGTGCACTCTCATGATATCCCTGTAGCAGCAGTGTGCACGGGTAGCCAGTCTGTCTCAGTTTCACTGAGAAGCCCAGTTAGCATTCAGTGAAAGTCATGATAAACTCACCGTGACCTGCTACACAAAGACTGTCCCTGTCCCTCGTGCCCTTCCTCACCTCTGATCTGAAACAAGAGATCCCAGATGGACTTGTTTTTATAATCAAGTATCACACCAACACACAACCAACTAACTAACTCCTCCTCTGAGTTAGATAAGGGAGATGAGGGAGGAATGCTGTTTTAGGACAGCCTGGAGGACAGTTTGTATTCTTAGCAGCTGGGTAAAGAACATTGAGCTCCTCACCCCCCATGGTGAAAGGGATTTATAGGGTTGCCATTGCAAAGCTTTTTATGGTTTTAACTGTTTCACTAAGAACCATTATAAAGGTATTAGACCATAAAGATGTTTATTTTATGCAGTTACTATATCTGTAGGTCTACTGGTAGCTCAAATATTTGAATGCTGATTGAGGAAATGCAGTATGAAAGAAAATAAATTCCCAATTAATATTTTGTTAAATTTTTACGAGATGCATTCATTGTAGCATACTATTTCACAATCACAATTTAGCATGTCACAATTGAAGATAAAATTGTATGGAGGGGTATTTACTGAAGGTGTTTAACTATCACTGCTAATGTCTGAGTCAACCATCACGGTTATCCATTTCATGTTCAATAAAGTGTCAAGTTGTACATTTTCTAGTCAGGTCAAGTCAAATTTGTTTCTTATGACTCACAACCCTATTTCATCATCTATACATGGCAATTACTTAAATATCTAAGGAACAATGCATTTTCAGAGTTAAATGTCTGACTGGCAAGATGTCTAAGATATTGTATAAACAAATACCCTTTTCACACGACTGAGCCAAGCTGAGCCAAGCCAAGCTACACTGTAGAACTACTGGCCAGGTTACACATCCACAATACTATAGTTACTAGAAAGGACAATGTGAAAAGAAAACATCAGAGCCAGCACAGTAGGGTTCAGTTTAGCATGATAGGGAAAGTTAACACAGAGCAAAGAACAACATGGTTAAAGGTGACACAGGGTGTTGTTCTGAATGGACCTTGACCAACTACGTACATTGCGCACAGCAGACCTTGCACAAGGACACTCCAGCCATGGACAGAAGAGCGATACCTAAGTGCGTCCAAAATCTATGTGGAATCTCTCTAATTACTTTGTTCAACCCAACATCACATAGGTGAGACTTTCAGGTCAATTCTCTATTTGATAGAAATGCCAAAATGTCTGCCCAAATGTACAAAACATTAGGTACACCTGCTCTTTCCATGACATAGACTGACCAGGTGAATCCAGGTGAAAGCTATGATCCCTTATTGATGTCACTTGTTAAATCCACTTCAATCAGTGTAGATGACGAGGAGGAGACAGGTTAAAGAAGGATTTTTAAGCCTTGAGATAATTGATACATGGATCAGAGAATGACTCTAGTACTGAAAGCATAACCTACAGCTAGCTAGCACTGCAGTGCATAAAATGTGGTGAGTAGTTTACTCAAAGAAAGAGAAAGACAATAGTTTAACAGTTTTGAACAAATTACTTTTTTTTTTTTCACTTTCACGTTCACGTACTTAGCTAGCAAATGAAGCTAGCTAGATAGTTTAGCCTACTCAAACACCCGGCTCAAACAGAGAGATGCTATGTTAGCTAGCTGGCCATGACTATCCATCACAACACTGGAACTCTTCCAAGTCAAGGTAAGCTTTTGGTTTAGCTAATTTATTACCACCGGGGCCCACCGGTGTAACTGCTAAACTGCTTACTAAACTGCTTACTGACTGTACACTAATGTTACTGCATGATTGTAGTGGGTTTACTAACGCTTTAGTTCTATTAGCTATGTTGACTATGACGTTACTTTAGCTAATATGGTGACAATGATGTAGGCTGTGTGTAGCGGTTATGATATAGTTTAGCTTGGAAAGGTTTTTTCGCCTGGTCACATACAGCTGATGTGTTGTGCATTGAAGTCCACAAGCGAAGGGAAAAGGTGAGAGGAGGAGAGCGTCCATGTTTCACTGTCTGTCACCTCAAATTGTTCTCTCGACCTATGTACACCTACTCTGTAAACTGTCATTCATAGGCTAGGTTATAGCCACCTCATGATGGGTAGAGGGAAAATGTTAGTATCATGTAGTAGCCTAAACCTATCAATGTTACATTAAACTGGGTGAATGGAATATAAATGACAGTCATCCAGTATGCTGTTATAGAAAAGGCCATGCAATCTTAAACGTCACCGACCACCACTGCTTTGAACATGGGCCAGCATCCCTGTGGAACGCTTTCGACACCTTGTAGAGTCCATGCCCCGACGAATTGAGGCTGTTCTGAGGGCAAAAGGGGGTGCAACTCAATATTAGGAAGATGTTCCTAATGTTTTGTACCCTCAGTGTATCAAACCAACTGAACCTCTGTCAATGAAAATAGAATACCTCAACACTACCTTTGCACTCTGCGAAGAACAGAGCGTATGTATGTGTGGAGTTTGGCAACTCAGATTGAATATATATATTCACATGTAAACTTTACAAGCCTATATTTTATATTCCATGTCATGTATCAGAATCAATGAAGCCTTTCAGTACTTAATATTCCAGTCCCCTGCCTCTGCCTCTCTAGCAGACCAATACGATACAATACCCCCTCTGTAGAGCGTATCCAACCTAATCGCCTTAACTGTGTTGTTACCAGGACAGTGTTATTAAGGTTCATTAACCTAAAGTTCACTATGGACTTTAGTGAATTTGGGCTGGAATGGTATTTCAGTAGCCTGCTTTCTGAGATTTATTCAATAATACAACGAAGCATTGCCCTAGAGTTTGAGTCTTAAAGGAAGTTGGCCCTTGAGTGAGTGCCAAGTACATGCTTGTCCTTGCCTTGTGTCGAACAATTTTATAATTTTATTTTTTCATGAGCATGTCCTTTTCTATAACAGCATATTGGATGACTGTCATTCATATTCCATTCACCCAGTTGAAAAAGGGACAAATGAAATGAGTCATACCCAAAATAGGTGTTTTTTCACTTGAGAAGGTTGATTCTCGCACTTTAATAAGTATTGTAGAATCTAAAGTACTAGCTCACATTAGCTCATGAGTCACACCAGAGCTGGCACTGGCTTACACACATGTTTTATTAGTTTTGTGGGATTAGACCTCCTTAATCAATTCCATGTGGTCCTCTGTAACTCAGCTGGAAGAGCACAGCGCTTGTAACGCCAAGGTAGAGGGTTCGATCCCCGGGACCACCCATACACAAAAATGTATGGCTGGCCTGAAGGCCTCCATGCAGAGCTCTGGAGAGCATGGGGTGGTGTTCATGTCTCTGGGAACGCTGGTGTCTGCCCTGCCTAAGGGGGTGACCGAGGCAGTGGCCCAAGCCTTTGCCCAGCTGCCCCACAAGGTGGTGTGGAGGTTCCTGGGAGAAAGACCCTCTTCCCTGGGGAACAACACCCTGCTACTGGACTGGCTCCCCCAGAACGACCTCCTGGGCCACCCCAAGACCCGCGCCTTCGTGGCTCACGGAGGCACCAACGGCCTGTATGAGGCCATTTACCACGGGGTCCCTGTGCTGGGTCTGACGCTACTCTGCCACCAGTTGAACAATGTCTGGAGGCCACCACTCTCACCACAAAATACTTCCTGGAGGCCCTAAGGGATGTGCTGGAGAATCCCTCCTACTGCCACAGCATGCAGAAGCTCTTTGGCCTGCACCGCAACACGCCCCTGTCCCCGTTCGCCAGTGCCACCTTCTGGATTGAGTACGTGATGAGGAACGGCGTCCCACCTGCACACCGAAGCCTACAGCATGTCCTGGTACTCCAACCACAGCGTGGACGTGGCGGCGCTGCTCACGGCCCTCAGCGGAGCCTCTCGCTGGGCCTCAGTCTCTGTCTGCAGCAGGCTGTGCTGCAGGAGCTCCAGGAGGAAGACCAAGCTGGAGTGAAAGATGTGAACATTGATTAATCCTTCCTGTTCATTCTTGTTAACTGCCAAATTGTTTATATTGTAACATTTTCATAAACAGACTGGAAAATAGTTGTTTCGTGAAATGTTTTTTTATTTAGTTTAACAAAAAATATACACGTTTCAGGCAAAGCAACATTTTCCATTAACATATGATCTTTGTATAGATTATGTTTTGATAAAAAGTTGCAATAGGACCAAACAGTAACATATTCAACATTATGTCCATATGACATTAGAGATGGACTCCTCTCTTCCCTAATGTACAGTAACGTCCTTTACTGTTTTGGAAAGTCAGAGGGAGAGAGGGAGGGAGGGAGGTCACAGCAGAGGGAAAATAAACGTGAGCTTTAATGATGCACATGAGTCACTGTGACTGTTAGCACAGTCCTATCAGAGATGGCTACAGCCTTCCCTTCTAACTCTTTCTCTCGCGTTCGCTTACTCTCTCGCTCCCCCCCCCCCCCCCTCTCTCTCTCTCTCTCTCTCTCTCTCTCTCTCTCTCTCTCTCTCTCTCTCTCTCTCTCTCTCTCTCTCTCTCATACTGGCCTTATCCACAGACATTAACAACTGTCTGGCTCTCAAGGTAACAGAAGGCTTACTTACGTCACATAGTGTGAGTCGATGTGCCCTTGAGCAAGGCACTTAATCCTAAATGCTCCAGGGTCGCCGTTGATAATGGCAGACCCTGGCCATGACCCCACTCTCCGAGGGTATCTCAGGGGGATTTGGGATATGCAAAAAATACATTTCCATTTCACATGTGTACAATACACACTTGTACATGTGAAATAGGACAAATATAGACACCCACCAAATGTTTATTATTATATACAGTGAGGGAAAAAAGTATTTGATCCCCTGCTGATTTTGTACGTTTTCCCACTGACAAAGAAATTATCAGTCTATAATGTTAATGGTAGGTTTATTTGAACAGTGAGAGACAGAATAACAACAAAAAATCAACAAAACCGCATGTCAAAAATGTTATAAATTGATTTGCATTTTAATGAGGGAAATAAGTATTTGACCCCCTCTCAATCAGAAAGATTTCTGGCTCCCAGGTGTCCTTTATACAGGTAACGAGCTGAGATTAGGAGCACACTCTTAAAGGGAGTGCTCCTAATCTCAGTTTGTTACCTGTATAAAAGACACCTGTCCACAGAAGCAATCAATCAATCAGATTCCAAGCTCTCCACCATGGCCAAGACCAAAGAGCTCTCCAAGGATGTCAGGGACAAGACTGTAGACCTATACAAGGCTGGAATGGGCTACAAGACCATCGCCAAGCAGCTTGGTGAGAAGGTGACAACAGTTGGTGCAATTATTCGCAAATGGAAGAAACACAAAAGAACTGTCAATCTCCCTCGGCCTGGGGCTCCATACAAGATCTCACCTCGTGGAGTTGCAATGATCATGAGAACGGTGAGGAATCAGCCCAGAACTACACGGGAGGATCTTGTCAATGATCTCAAGGCAGCTGGGACCATAGTCACCAAGAAAACAATTGGTAACACACTACGCCGTGAAGGACTGAAATCCTGCAGCGCCCGCAAGGTCCCCCTGCTCAAGAAAGCACATATACAGGGCCATCTGAATGATTCAGAGGTGAACTGGGTGAAAGTGTTGTGGTCAGATGAGACCAAAATCGAGCTCTTTGGCATCAACTCAACTCGCCGTGTTTGGAGGAGGAGGAATGCAGCGTATGACCCCAAGAACACCATCCCCACCGTCAAACATGGAGGTGGAAACATTATGCTTTGGGGTTGTTTTTCTACTAAGGGGACAGGACAACTTCACCGCATCAAAGGGACAATGGACGGGGCCATGTACCGTCAAATCTTGGGTGAGAACCTCCTTCCCTCAGCCAGGGCATTGAAAATGGGTCGTGGATGGGTATTCCAGCATGACAATGACCCAAAACACACGGCCAAGGCAACAAAGGAGTGGCTCAAGAAGAAGCACATTAAGGTCCTGGAGTGGCCTAGCCAGTCTCCAGACCTTAATCCCATAAAAAATCTGTGGAGGGAGCTGAAGGTTCGAGTTGCCAAACGTCAGCCTCGAAACCTTAATGAGTTGGAGAAGATCTGCAAAGAGGAGTGATACAAAATCCCTCCTGAGATGTGTGCAAACCTGGTGGCCAACTACAAGAAACGTCTGACCTCTGTGATTGCCAACAAGGGTTTTGCCACCAAATACTAAGTCATGTTTTGCAGAGGGGTCAAATACTTATTTCCCTCATTAAAATGCAAATTAATTTATAACATTTTTGACATGCGTTTTTCTGGATTTTTTTGTTGCTATTCTGTCGCTCACTGTTCAAATAAACCTACCATTAAAATTATAGACTGATCATGTCTTTGTCAGTGGGCAAACGTACAAAATCAGCAGGGGATCAAATACTTTTTTCCCTCATTGTAACAATCTTTATTGGGTGATTGACATGATAGTTCAAAGAGTAGATACTTACATTTCACAGCTGTCCTTATGTACAGTGAATGCTGGAATTGTGCAAGATTATATATGAACTCCAATGCCTCAAGGCTTATATGTCTATACATTGTGCATCACCTCCATTACATCACCTCTATAATATCACCACCAGAGGGCATGGCTAACCCAGTGAGGTTTGTGTGTCTTGGGTCAAAGGTCAAAGGTTACATGAACCTAGTGCTCAAGATAGGCTGAGGGGCAGAGGTAATCATAGGCTGAGATGTGATGACCCCAGGCTGGGAGGCCATCAACATTGGCTGACCAGGCAGCATGGTGGGCTGGGCGTTGATGACTCCAGGCTGGGAGGCCATCAACATGGGCTGACCGGGAAGCATGGTGGGCTGGGCGTTGATGACGGTGAAGGTCTGTCTGCGTCTCCTGATCTCCCTGGCCATCTGGCACCAGGAGCAGATGTTGCAGAAGGTGGAGTACACACAGTCCGCTGTCATGTCACCCTGAACACACACATAGACAGGATTAGGATTGCAAAATTCCTCTTTTCTAGAAATCCCAGTTTGGATGATTCTTGGATTTTTTACTTATTCCCTCCTGATTCTGGGAATCTTCCAACCAGGATTTGGTTTTACTTGCAATGAGGAATCAGCAGAGGTTTCAAACCAGGGATACTGTATGATTACATCGACTACTGAGCTGTTGTATTAACTGGACACAAGCCCACAGAAGCTCTATTGTGTTGTGTTTTATGTGCTGCCTCACTCTTCCACACAGTCCGTAGGCCTACTCTAACAGTCTTCCTTATCTAGTGTTTTTATTCAGGCGTTCAGACTGACAGAACAACTCTCCATTCGTTAACCCACCAGAATGCCATAGCGGTTACGTACGGCCACCCTCATGGACATGGACACAGGGGGAATGCAGGTTGGCACCCCTACCAGCTGGGTGGAGGACCATAAAATGTCCAGTAGGGGGAGACAGAAACACTCTCCGAACTCTGAGGTGGTGGTGCAGGCGAAACAGGGGAAGCACCAGTAAGCAAAACAGCCTGATCATAGGGTCACAGAGCGCAAGTCAGGGAAGAGATCTGTTAGCACGGATTACAACACTTTTCTCACTCATTTTGATTAGTGGCTAGTAACGCTGTTTGTCCTTTTATGAAGTTATTTTCTATATATGGACTATAATACTCCATTGAAGTCTCAAAATATTCCAAACACGGCGTAAGTTAAAACGGAACAATGTAATGTATAACATACGTGCTTTTTAAAAACAATGTTTTAATAAGACATTCCGAAATACAGAACGTAAATGAATACTGAACTCTGAATTCTAATTTTTGCAGAGAAATATCAATGATTCGCTGAACACTGGATAAATGGACAAACAAATGGACAGACAGACTCACAGACTTGCAAGTCGTCGAAGCAGCCACAGATGCCAGTGCTCCACTGGTTAGAGTGGACAGCTATGAAAGCTGGTGTCTGGGGCTGAGGAGGCTGAGACTGTTGGTTGTTGATTGTCACGCTCGTTGCCATGGTGACTGGCCGGCCGCTCGACTAAGGACGAAGAACCTGAACAAAAAGCAACAACAAACAACAATGGATAGTTACTTTTTCCTAACTTTTGGCTCTACCTGCCTCCCCAATGCCAACTTGTTGAAATAAAATATGAAATACCACCCCCCCACACATCCCTCAACTCGCTTCGAAATACGCTTTAATATCTTTGCACTTCCTTCTATTCTAAGTGGCTAATTCGCTTCTTACAAGTGGAGCCACTTCAATCATTCAATCATCACTTAACAGCCAATAAGCTACTGTGTGCACTCTGGTACTGTTCATTCCCAAACTGTAGTCTATAAAGTATTCAACATTAACGTGATGTTAAAACGTATAAGTCTCCCCATCAAAGACAAATCATTGCAGCCTATAATTCTAGTAGTGGGGTATGTTCAATCTAAGTCCTGTTTTATTGAAATCGGACTCTTTTAATAAAATACACTCACCTGAAATGGACAACTTTGCCTAGCTGTATCCAGGTTCGTGATGGGTACTTCTGGACCAGAGGTGGCATTAAAAACCATATCATTCAGGAACTAAATTACAGAACAGTCACTATTTGCATGTGTGTGGTTTGCATAAGATTCAACACCGTCACTGAAGATCAGTGACATACAGTATCCTCTGTATTAACGTCATGGAGAAAGGACAGACACTATTATTTTAATAATTTATTTACCATTAAAATACATACATTTATACTGCAAACATGAAAGATATATCTGAATGTACGTTTTGTTTCGGAAATTTTTCATACCTATTTCTCTCGTATACGTTTCTACAATACATCTGGACATGTTTCGTACATTTAGCATAGTAGTAGATAAAAAGGTCCAGTTTTCAAAAGGGTTTTGGAAATGTATTTATACATACATACATACATACATGTTCGTTCAACTTTCACACACCCGAAAAAACGTAAAGGGCCTTTACAGATACAGATAAACATTTCCAGCTGTCAGCAGGGTGGAAGTGAACGTGAACAACCTAAGAACAGAATACTGTTGCAGACGTGCTTGAAACTGAATGGAGATCAGTTTTGGGTGGCTCACAGTACACGTGTACACGTGTGTGACATTCAATGGTGACGAGTTTGGTGACAGTGAGTGGTGATGTAAGAGTCAACAGAGGATAGAAAGCACAGGAGGTTGGTGGTACCTTAATTGGGGAGGACGGGCCCATGGTAATGGCTGGAGCGGAATCAGTAGAATGGTATCAAATACATCGAACAATACCATTCCATTTGCTCCATTCCGGACATTATTATGAGCTGTCCTCCCGTCAGCAGCCTCCTGTGGTAGAAAGTGTAGCCCTGGATAAGGCTTGGTATTGTTAGTATCCCATTAACATGAGTCTAATGATGATGATGTTGTTGATTATGATTAGTGTAATGACCATGGTGAAGGTGGAGGAGGAAGAGGAAGAGGATGGATATATGATAATGAGTGATGATGATGATGATGATGATGATGATGATGATGGTACATGATGACGAAGAGGAGGATGAGGAAGAACGAGGTCTGTCCTTATCTTACATGTGTGTTGATGAGAGTGATTGGTTGGAAGCGGGTCTTCATCTCTCTTGACATTTGACACCAGGTGCAGGGCCCGCAGAAGAACGAATAGACACAGTCATTACACATGGTGCCCTTTTAGGGAAGAGACAGAGATACATCACATTACACCTGATCTAGGATCAGTTAACACTGACTACATTTATCAATTAATGACAAAGAGGAGATAGACTATCTGATCGGAGTTCAGCACTGTGACATCATCAGAACATTATGCATTAATCCCTGAGTAGCCTGGTCCCCGATCTCTTTGTGCTGTCATTCCAACTCCTTGTTTGGCATGACTAGGATTGTCAATGAGAGGAATGTTAGCACAGAGACTGGTACCCAGGCTACTCCCTCAGTATGCAGGTATTGAAACAGACGTTGAGTACTCTAGAAAAAATGTGGGCATGGTCTGGGCCACAGGTAGTCCTGAAACCTAGGTCATTAGAACTGGTTAGGTGAGTTCTGAGATCAGATTGGAAGGTGAGGTGAACATGGTGAATTACTGGAGAGATGGAGGGACTGATAGTACACCATTACGAGACATTACACACGTTCACATGTAGAGTCAAAGAAACTGGGCAATACACATAATTTGTATGGACATTGTATTCATATGCATTCTATTCACAAAATATTTTAATAATACAACATATTTACCAATAGTTATGGCCTATACCTATAAGGCCCAGAGTTTTTCCTGTTCAGATCCTGTGATCAGGAAAAACTCTAGTCATAAGACATGCCAAGCTAACAGTAAACAATGAGAAAACCAAACGTCATGACTCTAGACAAGGTCCATACAAATTATGTGTATTGCCCAGTTCCTTTGACTGTACATGTGAACGTGTGTAATGTCTCGTAATAGTGTAGAAGGCATTCTGTGTGTCCCTACCTCGATGCCGTAGCGCTGGCGCATGCCCACCCTCATGGACATGGTGGCGGCGGGGATAGCGCCGAAGCCGTCTAGCAGGGGCAGACACAGGCACTCCCCAGCCTCCCTCGCCGTTATACAGGCAAAACAGGGGAAGCACCAGAACGCTAAGCAACCTATAGAAGGATATAGGGGACAAGAAATGACAGTGAAGAGGATGTTCTCTTTACCATGGGATAACTCTAAACTAAAGTGGTATGTTGTTGATTGAAACAAGTTTGCCCCCCATTGAATGGAATTGAGCGGTAACAGAGGCTTTGTGTAAAGACGATCACTATATGTACATACACAAACATGCACGCACACACACGAACACACACACTTACACGAAGACATATCCTTGGTGCAGTCACAGATGTCGGAGCTCCATTGGTTTGAGGTGATGGCCTGAACAAAGGGCTTGGGCTGCTGGATTACCATCTTGTTTGCCATGGTGGTGGCTTCTGTGAGGATTTAAAAAAAAAGTTTTTATTTTAATTTTTACAGAAGTCACACCACCAGCAAATCAATATAGGGCGATGTTTCATGCTTCACAATAATGGTGCTAGAACTAGTTCTCAAGATACTTTGTGAAATTCTTCAAAATGTGTTGAAGTTATTCAAAATGCTGTATGTTGTACAGAGAAACCCAGTGCTAAGAGTTTAGTTGTCCCAAGGCTTTAAAACTGCTCCTTTGAACATGAGCTAGAAGCAGTCATAGTCCAACACAAATTGTACATTCAACCTGGACTCAGGGGTAGACGTAACATAGTAAAACTGTAAATCCATAACACTCCAATTAGTATGACATAGTATGTATTCATTTGTGGATGTCCATCACCCATTTCATATGATATACTCTTAGAAAAAAGGGTCCCAAAAGGGTTCATCAGCTGTCCCCATAGGAGAACCCTTTTTGGTTCCAGGTAGATCTATTTTTGGTTCCAGGTAAAAACCCTTTTGGTTCATTGTAGAACCCTCTGTGGGTTCTACATTGAACCTAATAGGGTTCTACCAGGCACCAAAAGGGTTCTACCTGTAACCAAAAAGGTTCTACCTGTAACCAAAAAGGTTTATTCAAAGGGTTCTCCTATGGGGACAGCCGAAGAACCCTTTTAGGTTCTAGATAGCACCTTCTTTTCTAAGAGAGTATGTTACGAATTACAATTTGTACAATATGTTACGAATTTGCAAAACATATATGTTACGAATTCCAATTTGTTGTGGCTAACATTAGCTAGGTGGGTAACACTAACATTAGCTAGGTGGCTAACGTTAGCTAGGCTAGGGGTTAGGGGTTAAGCTTAGGGTTAAGGTTAGTGTTAAATTAAAGGGTTATGAGTTAGGTTAAAGGGTTAAAGTTAGGATTATGGTTAGCTAACATGCTAAGTAGTTGCAAAGTATCTAAAAAGTATTAAGTAGTTGCAAAGAGATTATTCACTAAAATGCTGAAGTTGTCGTGATGAGATTCGAACCCGCACTCTTTGGGGTTGCTAGATGTTCGCTTTATACGCCCACTCACCATGACCAACCACCCTACAAGTAACCTTCTCTCTTATGTAACCACACTAAACGTAACATATCATACTAATTTGAGAGTCCCTGATTTACATTTACTATGTTACGTCTAGTCTATGAGACCAGGCTTGTAATTTATCATTACATTCAGCAGTATGCGATATCCCTTTACCTTTCATTCCTTATGCCATATGGAAATTAAATAAATGTTAAAATAAATGTGATATATAAAATATAGCCAAAATACATTTCATATTTTCACAAATATAGATTTTCCATATAGAGTGAATAAGCTACCTGGTATAATACCTTTGCTCATAGACATAGTCTTACCTGAGTTAGCTTCAGAGAAGAGGAGGGTGAATAGGAATGCTGAGTGACTGAAACCAAGCAAGGTAGAGTGGCATGCTATATGTAGGGGCAGAGAAAGTAGGACTCGCTCAACACACACACAAACAGACACTTGGCGATGGATTACAAAACACTGTTTCACCCATTAACTGGTCCATCCGGTTTGGCTAAATAGTTGAGACTCTCAGACACAGGCTTTCGTCATAAGCCCCCACATCTCCAAACCTCAAAGACTGGGTGTGACCCGACCATGACAAACTCGAAATTCTGGGGCACTGTAACATACTGTTAAATGCAGAGTTTCTCCTGGTTAAGTCATGTGGTCAGGAAAATGTCAGGGCCCTAATCATTCTGTGACGAGGTGTGAATGAAGAAGTCAGGCGCAGGAGGTGAAATACCGAAGTCCAGAGTTTATTCCGTTTACATAAATCAAACGCCCAAAGCGTCAAACGAAACTATGACAAGGGAAAACATCCACCTTGGCATAAACACAGTGAACAGTAGCTCAACCGAGGTACACGCTCTCATAACAAACAATCACTCACAAAGACAAGGCGAACAGAGGGAACACTTATACACATACTAATTAGGGGAATGAGCACCAGGTGTGTGTGATTGACAAGACATGACAAGTGGAGTGATGAGAATGGGATCGGCAGTAGCTAGTACTCCGGTGACGACGAACGCCGAAGCCTGCCCGAACCAGGAGGGGGGGCAGCCTCGGCGGAAGTCGTGACAGTACCCCCCCCACCCCCCCACGACGCGCGGCTCCAGCAGTGCACCGACCCTGGCCTCGGGGACGGCCAGGAGGACGCAGAGCAGGGCGAGTCGAATGGCGACGGTGGAAATCCCTCAACAGGGAGGGATCGAGGATGTCCCACCTTGGGACCCAGCACCGTTCCTCCAGACCGTACCCCTCCCACTCCACGAGATACTGAAGGCCCCCACCCGACGCCTCGAATCCAGGATGGAACGGACCGAGTATGCCAGGGCCCCCTTAATGTCCAGCTACCACCAGCCTGAGGAGAGACACATGAAACGAGGGGTTAATACGGTAATCAGGGGGGAGTAACAACCTGTATGTCACCTCGTTTATTCTCCTCAGGACTTTAAACGGCCCCACAAACCGCGGGCTTAGCTTCCGGCAGGGCAGGCGGAGGGGCAGATTCCGGGTCGAGAGCCAGACCAGATCCACCGGTACGAACACCGGGGCCTCCCTGCGGTGGCGGTCAGCGTTGGCCTTCTGATGATGCACAGCGCGCGCACGTCCCAAGTCTCCTCCGCGCGTCGAAACCAGCAATCCACCGCAGGAGCCTCGGTCTGGCTCTGGTGCCACGGTGCCAGGACCGGTTGGTAACCTAAAACACATTGGAAGGGTGTTAGGTTAGTGGAGAGAATTCTGAGCATATTCTGCCCATGGCAGGAACACCGACCACTCCCCCGGCCGGTCCTGACAGTAGGTCTGCAGGAACCTATCCACATCTTGATTCACCCTTTCCACCTGCCAATTACTCTCGGGTGAAATCCAGAGGTCAGGCTGACCGAGACCCCCAGATGTTCCATGAACGCCTTCCAGACTCTAGACGTGAACTGGGGACCTCGGTCGGACACTATATCCTCTGGTACCCCGTAGTGCCGGAAGACGTGAGTAAACAGAGCCTCCGCAGTTTGTAGGGCCGTGGGGAGACCGGGAAGAGGAAGGAGGCGGCACACTCCAGGGCCCTCCCACAAAGGCAGGAAACGAGGACGGATACCTTCTCCCGCTCCCGGGGCGGCGGCCTGATGCCCGAGAAATACAACTCCAGTTGGAGTAGGAATCCCTTACATCGCGCCGCCGTCCCATCAAACGCCGATGGCCGGGATATCTGAATCTCTCCAGGGGCTGGGGTGTAGGTGGCTGGATCCAGTTGACCAGCTAGTCTCGATAGATCGGATCCTCTCCTCTCCAGGCGTTTTACCACCTGAAGAACCCGATCCATCGCTTCCCCCAAGCTGGAATGCTCCTGGACCCTTGCCACAACTCCAGACATGCAGTCTTCTCCGGCTTACTCCATATCAGATCAGGTGAGTGATTCTGTGACAAGGGCTGAATTAAGTAGTCAGGCGTAGGAGGTAAAATACCGAAGTCCAGAGTTTATTCCGTTTACATAAATCAAACGCCCAAATCGTCAAATGAAACTATTACAAGGGAAAACTTCTACCTTGGCATAAACACAGTGAACAGTAGCTCAACCGAGCTACAAGCTCTCACAACAAACAATCACTCACAAAGACAAGGGGAACAGAGGGAACACTTATAAAAAATACTAATTAGGGGAATGAGCACCAGGTGTGTGTGATTGACAAGACATGACAAGTGGAGTGATGAGAATGGGATGAGCAGTAGCTAGTACTCCGGTGACGACGAACGCCGAAGCCTGCCCAAACCAGGAGGGAGGGCAGCCTCGGCGGAAGTCGTGACAATTACCATCAAGCCTTTGGATGTCCAAACAAGTTTAGCTTGACAAACCATGCAAACCATGCATAAACCATGCAAATTATTTTAACGAGCAATTAAGATATCTGGTAGCATTGAAGATACGATCTCCCTGTATGTTAGCATTGTAGTTTACCAAGATTCAGCCAAAAACTTGCAGTGCTATTATTTCTCTAGAACAGGGCTCTCCAACCCTGTTCCTGGATAGCTACCATCCTGTAGGTTTTCACTCCAACCCTAATCTATTGCACATTATTCTAAAAATTAGCTGGTTGATCAGCTGCATGAGGTTAGTTACAACTGCGGGTTGGAGCGAAAACCTACAGGAGGGTAGCTCTCCAGGAACAGGGTTGGAGAACCTTGCTCTAGAATCACCTAAAATAATGTGCTATACTATGCAGACATATGAGTACTAGCCCTGGCTGTCCCACTTCTTGCATAGGTTTGGGGCCAAAAATGTTTAACAATGAAAATATAGAATAAATGTGTCCGGTAGCGCTTCATAATAACACCAATAATAACATAATAACCCTAATCATAATTATAAAGCATTTATAATGGATTAGTAAATAGTTTATTCATAATTTATTAATCATTACTCCTACATTTGTAAATGTTAGTAAGCTAGTTATTAACACATGTATAAACCATTTTTAAAGGTTGTAATAATGATTCATAAGATCATTCATAACCTGTTTAAAATAGGTCCTTATAAACCATTTAGCAATCATTAGTTAAGTCTTTTTGTGTGGGCTAATCAAAAGTGAGGTCAATTTTAACTTCGTAAATACTTAATAAATTTTTTGAGCGACCAGTGTAATTTTTCACAAAAAGATAAACCTGCCATTGGTAGACATTCCAGCAATACCTGATGCTCCTTAAGGTCTCAAAATGGCCTATAATTATTAAACAATAAGCACACAATACAGAGGATGGTTCAGGAAATATATTTTATTCCTAAACAGTCGCACTGTTGTAATAGTGGGAGTAAAGTAACGTTTTTCATTTGAAAATGCTAACATTAGCGTTTGTTGACAGTGACTTTTCTACCAAAGTGTGGATTGCAGTCACTCCTTAGAGCAGTATGAAGACTGCTTATGAGGTAAGGAAAGAAATATCTGAATCCCTAATTTTGCTGAACTATCCCATTACGTTGAAAAAGTTACTACCTTTAAAGGCCCAGTAAAAGTGCAGCAAAAAAAAGCAAAGTGTGAAAATAGTATGCGTTTAAAAGACAAGCACTGGAAGTATTTAAAATAATAATACATTTGGTCTGTGCTTATATTTTCCGAATGTGTTTTTTTCATATCCTATCTCTCCCTGAGAGACCCTCTGAGAGTGGAGTCACGGCCTGGGTTTACCATTATCAATGGCGACCCTGGAGCAATTACGGTTAAATGCCTTGCTCAAGGTCCCATTGACAAATTCTTCACCTTATCAGCTCGGGATTCAAACTAGCTACCCTTCAGTTACAGGCCCAATGCTCTAACCGCTGAGCTACCGTACCTGTTGCAAACGTAGCACATGTAACATTTCCACCTCCAAATAACTCTACATGTCAACCAGGCCTCCTTTAGCTCAGTTGGTAGAGCATTGCGCTTGCAACGCAAGGGTTGTGGGTTAGATTCCCATGGGGGGCCAGTATGAAAAATTTATGCACTCACTAACTGTAAGTCGCTCTGGATAAGAGCGTCTGCTAAATGACTAAAATGTCAATGTAAATATATCAGCTCAAATAGCCTCAGAGAGCTCCTTTGTCCCACACCCCAAACACGCAGAGACCGGCTCAATCGGTTCCTCCAGTTTTTATTTTTATATTTATTTAACCTTTATTTAACCAGGTAAGCCAGTTGAGAACAAGTTCTCATTTACAACTGCGACCTGGCCAAGATAAAGCAAAGCAGTGCGATAAAAACAACACAGAGTTACATATGGGGTAAAAAAAAATAAAGTCAAAAATACAACAGAAAATATATATACAGTGGTGCAAATGTAGCAAGTAATGGAGGTAAAGCAATAAATAGGCTATTGTGCAAAATAATTACAATAGTATTAACACTGGAATGCTAGATGTGCAAGAGATTATGTGCAAATAGAGATACTGGGGTGCAAAAGAGCAAAATAAATAACAATATAGGGATGAGGTAGTTGGGTGGGCTAATTTCAGATGGGCTGTGTACAGGTGCAGTGATCGGTAAGGTGCTCTGACAACTGATGCTTAAAGTTAGTGAGGGAGATAAGAGTCTCCAGCTTCAGAGATTTTTGCAATTCGTTCCAGTCATTGGCAGCAGAGAACTGGAAGGAATGGCGGCCAAAGGAGGTGTTGGCTTTGGGAATGACCAGTGAGATATACCTGCTGGAGCGCAGACTACGGGTGGGTGCTGCTATGGTGACCAATGAGCTAAGATAAGGCGGGGATTTGCCTAGCAGTGATTTATAGATGGCCTGGAGCCAGTGGGTTTGACGACGAACATGTAGTGAGGACCAGCCAACAAGAGCGTACAGGTCACAGTGGTGGGTAGTGTATGGGGCTTTGGAGACAAAACGGATGGCACTGTGATAGACTACATCCAGTTTGCTGAGTAGAGTGTTGGAGGCTATTTTGTAAATGACATCGCCGAAGTCAAGGATCGGTAGGATAGTCAGTTTTACGAGGGCATGTTTGGCAGCATGAGTGAAGGAGGCTTTGTTGCGAAATAGGAAGCCGATTCTAGATTTAACTTTGGATTGGAGATTCTTAATGTGAGTCTGGAAGGAGAGTTTACAGTCTAACCAGACACCTAGGTATTTGTAGTTGTCCACATACTCTAGGTCAGACCCGTCGAGAGTGGTGATTCTAGTCGGGTGGGCGGGTGCCAGCAGCGTTCGATTGAAAAGCATGCATTTAGTTTTACTAGTGTTTAAGAGCAGTTGGAGGCTACTGAAGGAGTGTTGTATGGCATTGAAGCTTGTTTGGAGGTTTGTTAACACAGTGTCCAATGAAGGGCCAGATGTATACAAAATGGTGTCGTCTGCGTAGAGGTGGATCTGAGAGTCACCAGTAGCAAGAGCGACATCATTGATATACACTGAGAAAAGTGTCGGCCCAAGAATTGAACCCTGTGGCACCCCCATAGAGACTGCCATAGGTCCAGACAACAGGCCCTCCGATTTGACACACTGAACTCTATCTGAGAAGTAGTTGGTGAACCAGGCGAGGCAGTCATTTGAGAAACCAAGGCTATTTAGTCTGCCAGTAAGAATGCGGTGGTTGACAGAGTCGAAAGCCTTGGCCAGGTCGATGAAGACGGCTGCACAGTACTGTCTATTATCAATCGCGGTTATAATATCGTTTAGGACCTTGAGTGTGGCTGAAGTGCACCCATGACCAGCTCGGAAACCGGATTGCATAGCGGAGAAGGTACGGTGGTATTCGAAATGGTCGGTGATCTGTTTATTAACTTGGCTTTCAAATACTTTCGAAAGGCAGGGCAGGATGGATATAGGTCTGTAGCAGTTTGGATCTAGAGTGTCACCCCCTTTGAAGAGGGGGATGACCGCGGCAGCTTTCCAATCTCTGGGGATCTCAGACGTTATGAAAGAGAGGTTGAACAGAATAGTAATAGGGGTTGCGACAATTTCGGCGGCTAGTTTTAGAAAGAAAGGGTCCAGATTGTCTAGCCCAGCTGATTTGTAGGGGTCCAGATTTTGCAGCTCTTTCAGAACATCAGCTGTCTGAATTTGTGTGAAGGAGAAGCGGGGGGGGGGGTCAAGGGCAAGTTGCAGCGGAGGGTGCAGAGTTGGTGGCCGGGGTAGTGGTAGCCAGATGGAAAGCATGGCCAGCCGTAGCAAAATGCTTGTTGAAATTCTCGATTATTGTAGATTTATCGGTGGTGATAGTGTTTCCTAGCCTCAGTGCAGTGGGCAACTGGGAGGAAGTGCTCTTATTCTCCATGGACTTTACAGTGTCCCAAAACGTTTTGGAGTTAGTGCTACAAGATGCAAATTTCTGTTTGAAAAAGTTAGCCTTTGCTTTCCTGACTGCTTGTGTATATTGTTTCCTAACTTCCCTGAAAAGTTGCATATCGCGGGGGCTATTTGATGCTAATGCAGTACGCCACAGGATGTTTTTGTGCTGGTCAAGGGCAGTCAAGTCTGAGGAGAACCAGGGGCTATATCGGTTCTTAGTTCTGTATTTTTTGAATGGGGCATGTTTATTTAAGATTGAGAGGAAATTACTTTTAAGGAACAACCAGGCATCCTCTACTGACGGAATGAGATCTATATCCATCCAGGATACCTGGGCCAGGTCAATTAGGAAGGCCTGCTCGCTAAAGTGTTTTAGGGAGCGTTTGACAGTGATGAGGGGTGGATGTTTGACCGCGGACCCGTTACGGACGCAGGCAATAAGGCAGTGATCGCTGAGATCCTGGTTGAAGACAGCTGAGGTGTATTTAGAGGGTATGTTAGTCAAGATGATATCTATGAGGGTACCCATGTGTACGGATTTAGGGTTGTACCTGGTAGGTTCGTTGATAATTTGCGTGAGATTGAGGGCATCTAGTTTGGATTGTAGGATGGCCGGGGTATTAAGCATATCCCAATTTAGGTCACCAAGCAGTACGAACTCTGAGGATAAATGGGGGGCAATCAATTCACATATGGTGTCCAGGGCACAGCTGGGGGCTGAGGGGGGTCTGTAGCAAGCGGCAACAGTGAGAGACTTATTTCTGGAAAGGTGGATTTTTAGAAGTAGAAGCTCAAACTGTTTGGGCACAGACCTGGATAGTATGATAGAGCTCTGCAGGCTATCTCTACAGTAGATTGCAACTCCACCCCCTTTGGCAGTTCTATCTAGACGGAAAATGTTATAGTTGGGGATGGAAATTTCAGAATTTTTGGTGGCCTTCCTGAGCCAGGATTCAGACACTGCTAGAACATCAGGGTTGGCGGAGTGTGCTAACGCAGTGAATAACTCAAACTTAGGAAGTAGATTTCTGATATTTACGTGCAAGAAACCAAGACTTTTGCGATTACAGAAGTCAGCAAATGATAGCGCCTGGGGAGTAGGAGTGATACTGAGGGCTGCAGGGCCTGGGTTAGCCTCTACATCACCAGAGGAACAGAGGAGGACTAGAATAAGGATTCGGCTAAAGGCTTTAAGAACTGGTCTTCTAGTGCATTGGGTACATAGAATAAAGGGGGCAGATTTCCGGGTGTTGTAGAAAAGATTCAGGGCATTATGTACAGACAAGGATATGGAAGGATATGAGTAAAGTGGAGGTAAACCTAAGAGGTTAACCCAGGCCCTGTAGCCTCAGTATCACTCCTACCCCCCAGGTGCTATCATTTGTTGACTTCTGTCACCGTAAAAGCCTTGGTTTCTTGCATGTTAACATTAGAAGTCTCCTCCCCAAGTTTGAGTTATTCACTGCGTTAGCACACTCTGCCAACCCTGATGTTCTAGCAGTGTCTGAATCTTGACTTAGGAAGGCCACCAAAAATTCAGAAATGTCCATTCCAACCTACAACATTTTCCGTCTAGATAGAATTGCCAAAGGGGGCGGAGTTGCAATCAACTGTAGAGATAGCCTGCAGAGCTCTATCATACTATCCAGGTCTATGCCCCCTCAGCCCCCAGTTGTGTCCTGGACACCATATGTGAATTGCCTCATTGCCTGCGTCCGTAATGGGTCCGCGGTTAAACGACCACCCCTCATCACTGTCAAACGCTCCCTAAAACACTTCAGCGAGCAGGCCTTTCTAATTGACCTGGCCCAGGTATGCTGGATGGATATTGACCTCATTCAGTCAGTAGAGGATGCCTGGATGTTCTTCAAAAGTGCTTTCCTCTCCATCTTAATTTTTTTTTTCATGCCCCATTCAAAAAAATCTGAACTAAGAACAGATATAGCCCCTGGTTCACCTCAGACTTGACTGCCCTTGACCAGCACAAAAACATCCTGTGGCGTACTGCATTTGCATTGAACAGCCTCCGCGATATGCAACTTTTCAGGGAAGTCAGGAACCAATATACACAATCAGTTAGGAAAGCAAAGGCTAGCTTTTTCAAACAGAAATTTGCATCCTGTAGCACTAACTCCAAAAAGTTTTGGGACACTGTAAAGTCCATGGAGAATAAGAGCACCTCCTCCCAGCTACCCACTGCACTGAGGCTAGGAAACACTGTCACCACCGATAAATCTACGATAATCGAGAATTTCAATAAGCATTTTGCTACGGCTGTCCATTCTTTCCACCTGGCTACCCCTAATCCAGCCACCAGCTCTGCACCCTCCGCTGCAACTTGCCCTTGACCCCCCCACCGCTTCTCCTTCACCCAAATTCAGATAGCTGATGTCCTGAAAGAGCTGCTACCTACAAATCAGCTGGGCTAGACAATCTGGACCCTTTCTTTCTAAAATTAGCCGCCAAAATTGTCGCAACCCCTATTACTAGCCTGTTCAACCTCTCTTTCGTATCGTCTGAGATCCCCAGAGATTGGAAAGCAGCCGTGGTCATCCCCCTCTTCAAAGGGGGTGACACTCTAGATCCAAACTGTTATAGACCTATATCCATCCTGCCCTGCCTTTCGAAAGTATTTGAAAGCCTAGTTAACAAACAGATCACCGACCATTTCGAATCCCACCGTACCTTCTCCGCTATGCAATCTGGTTTCCGAGCTGGTCATGGGTGCACCTCAGCCACGCTCAAGGTCCTAAACGATATAATAACCGAGATGGATAAAATAAAGTACTGTGCAGCCGTCTTCATCGACCTGGCCAAGGCTTTTGACTCTGTCAACCACCGCATTCTTATTGGCAGACTAAATAGCCTTGGTTTCTCAAATGACTGCCTCGCCTGGTTCACCAACTACTTCTCAGATACAGTTCAATGTGTCAAATCGGAGGGCCTGTTGTCTGGACCTCTGGCAGTCTCTATGGGGGTGCCACAGGGTTCAATTCTCGGGCCGACTCTATTCTCTGTGTATATCAATGATGTCGCTCTTGCTGCTGGTGACTCTCAGATCCACCTCTACGCAGACAACACCATTTTGTATATATCTGGACACTGTGTTAACAAACCTCCAAACAAGCTTCAATGCCATATAACACTCCTTCCGTGGCCTCCAACTGCTCTTAAACGCTAGTAAAACTAAATGCATGCTCTTCAATCGAACGCTGCTTGCACCCACCCCCCGACTAGAATCACTACTCTCGGCGGGTCTGACTTAGAATATGTGGACAACTACAAATACCTAGGTGTCTGGTTAGACCGTAAACTCTCCTTCCAGACTCACATTAAGTATCTCCAATCCAAAGTTAAATCTAGAATCGGCTTCCTATTTCGCAACAAAGCCTCCTTCACTCATGCTGCTAAACATGCCCTCGTAAAACTGAGTATCCTACCGATCCTTGACTTCGGCGATGTCATTTACAAAATAGCTTCCAACACTCTACTCAGCAAATTGGATGTGGTCTATCACAGTGCCATCCGTTTTGTCACCAAAGCCACATATTGCACTGCTTTGCTTTATCTTGGCCAGGTCGCAGTTGTAAATGGATGAGCGGCAGGCGAGGTGAGTAGTCATGCTGTACTTCGCTCCGCAGGTAATATGACACATTACATTACAATGGAACGATTTGATTAGTGTAATGTTAGCTAGCTACATAGTTGTATTTGTATCAAAGATAAAGGTGTAGCTTAGAGAAACTATCGAGGTTAGCTAGCCAGCTACGTTCGTTCGCAGCGACGCCGTTTTTCAAACAAAGTCAACACCGCAGCCATTGCTAGCTAGCCAACACTTCCAACTAGCAGTACTGTAGCAACTAAATACAATATCCTTTGAGCCAGCTACATTCGTTCGCAGCGACGCCGTTTTTCGAACAAAGTCAACACCGCAGCCATTGCTAGCTAGCCAACGCTACCAGCTAGCAGTACTGTAGCAACTAAATACAATATAATTTTAGCCAGCTACATTCGTTCGCAGCGACGCCGTTTTTCAAACAAGGTCAACACAGCAGCCATTGCTAGCTAGCCAACACTACCAGATAGCAGTACTGTAGCAACTAAATACAATATCATTTTAGCCAGCTACAGTCGTTCGCAGCGACGCCGTTTTTCAAACAAAGTCAACACCACAGCCATTGCTAGCTAGCCAACACTACCAGATAGCAGTACTGTAGCAGCTAAATACAATATAATTTTAGTCAATGAGAATTTTGCAACATAAAGCTTCCCTTTCAGAACATTCGAGATGTGTAGTCCACTTGTGTAGCTAGCATGACTGACTTTGTGCTAGCTAGCCAACGTTGAATTATTGCTGCGTTATGAAAGGAACTAGACACGGACACAAATTATCTGTTTAGTGTGTTAACACACTATTGGTAGTTTGTTGTAACCAAGTATTGGTGCTAAACCGTGTGTTTTTGGATGCTAGCATGCTAGTTAGCTATGGCGTCATAGGATACGGTGCCCTGGGCGGTTTTCATGGAAGAATACTGTACCAAGTTACCTAGCTGAATAAAGTAAGTTAGAGTCTATTCCTAGAAACATTGAACCGCTGTAGTTTACAACAATTATAATTTCTAAAGTGGAAGTTGGGAGAGTTATATTTGGGTGTTTCAGTGAAACAATTATAGTTTCTGAGGTGGAAGTTGGGAGAGTTATATTTGGGAGTTGTGGTGAGGGAGGCCCCGCTCTCTCCTTTCCCAGATGTTTAGTTCATTTCATTCCGATCTCCTCCGCATTATTGTAGCCATTTGCTGCAGCCTGTCAACTATGCCTCTGCCTATCCCTGTTCTCTCCTCTCCGCACAGGCTACACAAACGCCTCACACCGCGTGGCTGCTGCCTCTCTAACCTGGTGGTCCCTGCACACACCACCCACCTGGAGTTCCAGGTCTCAGGCAGCCTCTGGAACTGCCGTTCTGCTGCCAACAAGGCAGAGTTCATCCCAGCCTATGCTACCCTCCAGTCCCTCGACTTCTTGGCGCTGACGGAAACATGGATTACCACTGAAAACACTGCTACTCCTACTGCTCTCTCCTCGTCTGACCATGTGTTCTCGCATACCCCGAGAGCATCTGGTCAGCGGGGTGGTGGCACAGGAATCCTCATCTCTCCCAAGTGGACATTCTCAATTTTTCACCTAACCCATCTGTCTATCTCCTCATTTGAATTCCATGCTGTCACAGTCACTAGCCCATTTAAGCTTTATATCCTTGTCATCTATCGCCCTCCAGGTTCCCTTGGAGAGTTCATCAATGAGCTTGACGCCTTGATAAGTTCCTTTCCTGAGGATGGCTCACCCCTCACAGTTCTGGGGGATTTCAACCTCCCTACGTCTACATTTGACTCATTTCTCTCTGCCTCCTTCTTTCCACTCCTCTCCTCTTTTGACCTCACCCTCTCACCGTCCCCCCCTACTCACAAGGCAGGCAATACGCTTGACCTCATCTTTACTAGATGCTGTTCTTCTACTAATCTCACTGCAACTCCCCTCCATGTCTCCGACCACTACTTTGTATCCTTTTCTCTCTCGCTCTCCTCCAACACTACTCACTCTGCCCCTACACAGATGGTAATGCGCCGCCGCAACCTTCGCTCTCTCTCTCCCGCTACTCTCTCCTCTTCCATCCTATCATCTCTTCCCTCTGCTCAATCCTTCTCCCTCCAATCTCCTGATTCTGCCTCCTCAACCCTCCTCTCCTCCCTTTCTGCATCCTTTGACTCTCTATGTCCCCTATCCTCCCGGCCGGCTCGGTCCTCCCCTCCAGCTCCGTGGCTTGATGACTCATTGCGAGCTCACAGAACAGAGCTCCGGGCAGCTGAGCGGAAATGGAAGAAAACTAGACTCCCTGCGGACCTGGCATCTTTTCACTCCCTCCTCTCTACATTTTCTTCATCTGTTTCTGCTGCTAAGGCCACTTTCTACCACTCTAAATTCCAAGCATCTGCCTCTAACCCTAGGAAGCTCTTTGCCACATTCTCCTCCCTGCTGAATCCCCCCCCCCCCTCCTCCCTCTCTGTGGATGACTTCGTCAACCACTTTGAAAAGAAGGTTGACGACATCCGATCCTTGTTTGTTAAGTCAAATGACACTGCTGGTCCTGCTCACACTGCCCTACCCTATGCTTTGACTTCTTTCTCCCCTCTCTCTCCAGATAAAATCTTGCGACTTGTGACTGCAGGCCGCCCAACAACCTGCCCGCTTGACCCTATCCCCTCCTCTCTTCTCCAGACCATCTCCGGTGACTTTCTCCCCTACCTCACCTCGCTGATCAACTCATCCTTGACCGCTGGCTATGTCCCTTCCGTCTTCAAGAGAGCGAGAGTTGCACCCCTTCTCAAAAAACCAACACTCGATCCCTCTGATGTCAACAACTACAGACCAGTATCCCTTCTTTCTTTTCTTTCCAAAACTATTGAGCGTGCCGTCTTTAGCCAACTCTCTTGCTATCTCTCTCAGAATGACCTTCTTGATCCAAACCAGTCAGGTTTCAAGACTGGTCATTCAACTGAGACTGCTCTTCTCTGTGTCACGGAGGCTCTCCGCACTGCTAAAGCTAACTCTCTCTCCTCTGCTCTTGTCCTTCTAGACCTGTCTGCTGCCTTTGATACTGTGAACCATCAGATCCTCCTCTCCACCCTCTCCGAGCTGGGCATCTCCGGCGCGGCTCACTCTTGGATTGCGTCCTACCTGACCGGTCGCTCCTACCAAGTGGCGTGGCGAGAAGCTGTCTCCGCACCACGTGCTCTCACCACTGGTGTCCCCCAGGGCTCAGTTCTAGGCCCTCTCCTATTCTCGCTATACACCAAGTCACTTGGCTCTGTCATATCCTCACATGGCCTCTCCTATCATTGCTACGCTGACGATACACAACTAATCTTCTCCTTTCCCCCTTCTGATAACCAGGTGGCGAATCGCATCTCTGCATGTCTGGCAGACATATCAGTATGGATGACGGATCACCACCTCAAGCTGAACCTTGGCAAGACGGAGCTGCTCTTCCTCCCGGGGAAGGACTGCCCGTTCCATGATCTCGCCATCACGGTTGACAACTCCGTTGTGTCCTCCTCCCAGAGTGCGAAGAGCCTTGGCGTGACCCTGGACAACACCCTGTCGTTCTCCGCTAACATCAAGGCGGTGACCCGATCCTGTAGGTTCATGCTCTACAACATTCGGAGAGTACGACCCTGCCTTACACAGGAAGCGGCACAGGTCCTAATCCAGGCACTTGTCATCTCCCGTCTGGATTACTGCAACTCGCTGTTGGCTGGGCTCCCTGCCTGTGACATTAAACCCCTACAACTCATCCAGAATGCCGCAGCCCGTCTGGTGTTCAACCTTCCCAAGTTCTCTCACGTCACCCCGCTCCTCCGCACACTCCACTGGCTTCCAGTTGAAGCTCGCATCTGTTACAAGACCATGGTGCTTGCCTATGGAGCTGTGAGGGGAACGGCACCTCCGTACCTTCAGGCTCTGATCAGTCCCTACACCCAAACGAGGGCATTGCGTTCATCCACCTCTGGCCTGCTGGCTCCCCTTCCTCTGCGGAAGCATAGTTCCCGCTCAGCCCAGTCAAAACTGTTCGCTGCTCTGGCACCCCAATGGTGGAAGAAGCTCCCTCACGACGCCAGGACAGTGGAGTCACTCACCACCTTCCGGAGACACTTGAAACCCCACCTCTTTAAGGAATACCTGGGATAGGATAAAGTAATCCTTCTACCCACCCCCCCCCCCCAAAAAAAAAAAAATAATAATAATAATAATAATTGTAAAGTGGTTATCCCACTGGCTATAAGGTGAATGCACCTATTTGTAAGTCGCTCTGGATAAGAGCGTCTGCTAAATGACGTAAATGTAAAATGAAAATGTAAATGAGAACTTGTTCTCAACTGGCTTACCTGGTTAAATAAAGGTGAAATAAAATGATTTTTTATTTTTTTTTATCAGTAGTAATGAAGGAATAAATATCCGCTAGAGAAAAACTGTCTGGTCCAGCCAGCTGTTGTGTGTAGGCTACATCTTTGTGTTTTATGATTCATTTGCGTTCACGAGGTTGACACATTAGCTAAACATTCACATTACAACTATTCCTATGCTATTCCCATGCTACAGTTGTTTTACAACAGTTTTTGTAAATTAAATGTTCAACATGTTTCCTTAAACATCCTGTGTTGTGTGCTTATTATTTTGTCATTGATATGCTCTAGGCTATTTTGAGACCTTAAAGGGATAGTTCACCCAAATTACATAATGGTTTCCTTAACCTGTACGTGGTCTATGGCCAAGGTATGACAGCAATCTATGCTTTGGTTTAGTTTCCCTGACACTGTTTCTAAATGCTAAAATATTTGTATTTGTGGCACAAATCCCATTTAAGTCATGGTCCCAATTTTCTAATTTTTCACGCATCATGTTCAAATCATCTTTAAGTGCCTTTGTTGAGCTTCACAATCAATTTGAGATACTTTTGGATGATTTGGGCATGTTGCGCGAAAAATGCTAATATCAGTACCCTGACTTGAATGTGATTTGTGCCGCAAATGCTAAAACGTTAGCATTTGGAAACCTTGCCAGGGAAATAAAGCCAAAGCATTGACTGCTGTCATACCTTGTCCATAGACTGCTTATAGGGTAAGGAAACCAATCTGTCATTTTGTAATTTGGGTGAACTATCCTTTTAAGGATCATTGGGAACTGCTGGAATGTCTACCAATGGCATGTCCACCTTTTTGTGAAACATTACACTGGTCACTCAAAACATTTATAAAATATTTATAAAGTATACATAGCCCTCACTTTAGATTAGCCTACGCAAAAAAAAGACTTAGGCTAACTAATGATTACTAAATGGTTTCTAAGGACCTATATTAAACATCTTATGAATTATCTTATTAATCATTTTTAAATACTTTAAAATTGTTTATAAATGTGTTAATAACTAGCTTACTAACAGTTACACATGTAGGAGGAATGATTAATAAATGATTAATAAACTATTTACTTATCCATTATAAATGCAATGCTTTATGGCAAGGTGATATTATGAAGTGTCCTTTACGACTCCTGAGGTGACAACAATTTTTTGTCATCCATCCTTGGAACTTGTTTGGGATGGTTTTGGAATTTTAAGGCCCTGACTCAGTTCCTTTAATGTTTCCTGGAATCTGGGTTTGTTGGTTGAAGGAGGTCATCTAAACCTCTAAAACATAAACCAGAGAGATAGTAGAACACTGACTGACTGAATTCCACCTCCACCTCATCACACCCAAAGTTACATTAAAAGAGTCACTGAGAGACAATTGTTGTAGGAGTAATTTAGGTAACTGCAATGTGTTAATTTTGTGCAGAATCAATACAAAGAGAAGCAGCAGTGGAAATTCCACTCTCTGTTGATGTACCCAGACTGGAAAGACTAGTTGTCAGCATCAACATGATTGACACTATCTACTTTAATACTGCAATGGGATAAATCATGGTCACAAGGAGTGTTTCTTGGTAGTCTTCAACAAATCTACTTTGAAGCAAAAGTATACACCTCAGACACATGGTTATGGGCTTAAAAAGAAGAAGACAGCTGTCAGATATGGAGTTGAAATGTATTTCATTTTGAGTTTGCATCCCAATATTACACTTTATATACATCACAGAAGACTGAAATTTAACAAAACCGTTTGACATAGAAACATTTTCAAACTCTTGGATTTCTGGCGCGTTTTTGGAAATAATGTTATGAAAAATATTAATAACATTCCACCCATGCGGCAACTATAGAGGTCGATTTGGTCATTTGACTGAAGGAAAATATTTTAAAGCTGAGTCACCCACTTATACTGCATATCATTCATCATCCCTGTCTTTCATAATCTCTTCATTCTCTATTGTTTAAAGGGGGGGGGGGGGGGTAAGGGAGCGAAAGAGGAGAGAGAGAGAGAGAGAGAGAGAGAGAGAGAGAGAGAGAGAGCGAGAGAGTAAGAGAGAGAGAGAGAGTGAGAGAGAGTGAGAAAGAGAGAGAGAGCAAGAGAGAGCGAAAGAGAGAGACAGAGACAGAGAGACTGAATGGGTAGCAAATAGCTCAAACCGTGTACAGTTACAGTCAGAAGATTACATACACCTTAGCCAAATACATTTAAACTCTGTTTTTCACAATTCCTGACATTTAATCCTAGTAAAAAATCCCTGTCTTAGGTCAGTTAGGATCACCACTTTATTTTAAGAATGTGAAATGTCAAAATAATAGTAGAGAGAATGATTTATTTCAGCTTTTATTTCTTTCATCACATTCCCAGTGGGTCAGATGTTTAAATACACTCAATTAGTATTTGGTAGCATTGCCTTTAAATTGTTTAACTTGGGTCTAACGTTTTGGGTAGCCTTCCACAAGCTTCCCACAATTAGTTGGGTGAATTTTGGCCCATTCCTCCTGACAGAGTTGGTGTAACTGAGTCAGGTTTGTAGGCCTCCTTGCTAGCACACGCTTTTTCAGTTCTGCCCACAAATATTCTATAGGATTGAGATCAGGCCTTTGTGATGGCCACTCCAATACCTTGACTTTGTTGTCCTTAAGCCATTTTACCACAACTTTGGAAGTATGCTTGGGGTCATTGTCCATTTGGAAGACCCATTTGCGACCAAGCTTTAACTTCCTGACTGATGTCTTGAGATGTTGCTTCAATATATCCACCTAATTTTCCTTCCTCATGATGCCATCTATTTTGTGAAGTGCACCAGTCCCTCCTGCAGCATAGCACCCCCACAGCATGATGCTGCCACCCCCGTGCTTCACGGTTGGGATGGTGTTCTTCGGCTTGCAAGCAACCCCCTTTTTCCTCCAAACATAACGATGGTCATTATGGCCAAACAGTTCTATTTTTGTTTCATCAGACCAGAGTACATTTCTCCAAAATGTACGATCTTTGTCCCCATGTGCAGTTGCAAACCGTAGTCTGGCTTTTTTATGGCGGTTTTGGAGCAGTGGCTTCTTCCTTGCTGAGCGGCCTTTCAAGTTATATCAATATAGGACTCGTTTTACTGTGGATATAGATATTTTTGTACCTGTTTCCTCCAGCATCTTCACCAGGTCCTTTGCTGTTGTTCTGGGATTGATTTGCACTTTTCGCACCAAAGTACGTTCATCTCTAGGTATGATGGCTGCGTGGTCCCATGGATGAACCAGACTTGTGGAGGTCTACAATTTTTATTCTGAGGTCTTGGCTGATTTCTTTTGATTTTCCCATGATGTCAAGCAAAGAGGCACTGAGTTTGAAGGTAGGCCTTGAAAACATCCACAGGTACACCTCCAATTGACTCAAATGATCAGAAGCTTCTAAAGCCATGACATCATTTTCTGGAAATGTCCAAGCTGTTTAAAGGCACAGTCAACTTAGTGTATGTAAACTTCTGACCCACTGGAATTGTGATACAGTGAATTATAAGTGAAATAATCTGTTTGTAAACAATTGTTGGAAAAATTACTTGTGTCATGCACAAAGTAGAAGTCCTAACCGACTTGCCAAAACTATAGTTTGTTAACAAGAAATTTGTGGAGTGGTTGAAAAACAAGTTTGAATGACTCCAATCTAAGTGTATGTAAACTTCCGACTTCAACTCTAGGTTGTTATAAACAAACAATAAACAAGCCCTTGTAGGGTGTTAACTGAATTTTCCTAAGGGTGTTACAGTAGCCTACATGACATATCACATATAATTATCTAGCATTCAAATGCCAATGACTTCTAGAACTGCTCAAACTGAACATATCTTGACAATAGACAACAGTACATGCGTGGCTAAAATCCTTACTTAGTCTTCAAGTATTTAAATTGCCTTGCTTTTCTATAACATCAATGGTTGACAAGTGTTAACAAGTAAAAGAGCTCTCTCTACAGACAGAAGCAGTGTACTGCAGGTCCGACCCCAGTAATCATAATTACGGTCCTGATTTAAGTTGTTTTCTGTTTAGATCACATGGTTAGGACATAATCCCATGCATTAGGAACAGGTCATGGAACATTGACGCCCTCCCATTGATCTACATGGAACTACCGTTGATCTGTGGTTTTGAACTGTTCTGTTGCAGATGCAGGTGAATACATCTCTTTCTATTTGTCATAACAAGAAAAGCAGATGCTCCTCCATAAGAAAACCTACACATACTGCAGTAGCAGCAACAGCCCACTTTACCAGCAAAAAGAGTGTGCCTGGGCCAAGGGGCATGTTTGGACCAAAAGGACAGAACTGAAAGTCTCTGATAGAGAGGAAGAAGAGAGATAAGAGAGGAACTGTGTTGCTCAGATTTGCCTGCTGCCAAGTGTAGTCAGTGACTGAGACTGTGTGAGCTGATGACCATCAGTTTCAGAAGCCCTAGAGACAAACAGGCGCCATGTCAGGGTATTGTGTTGACAAACATCACCTACCAGCTACTAGCGTCTGCGCACAGTGTCTGCATATCCAGATGCATGTCTATTACACTGTTATTACATTAGAGTTCAGGAAGGCCTCCACTGTACAGCAAAAAACAAAGGTATGAGGGGTACTCAACAACAATGACAAAAATCCAACAAAAGTGCTTACCAAGAAAAACATGGGACACACCCCCACCACACTGATTGTCTTACAGGTAAACACAGGCAGGCAAAACAAAAAAGGGTTCCAAAAGGGTTATTTGGCTGTCCCCATTGGAGAACCCTTTTTAGTTCCAAGTAGAAACCTTTTGGGTTCCACGTAGAACCTTCTGTGGAAAGTGTTCGACCTGGAACCCAAGAGAGTTCTACCTGGAGGGACAGCCGATGTACCCTTTTAGGTGCTAGATAGCACCTTTTTTTCTAAGAGTGTATTGGCAAGTCAGGAGATGGCTACTTTCAGGTGTGAAGGACAGAAGACTGGGTTCTCGTACAGGACTCTCTAGATCAGTGTTTACCCATCGCTCAGTCCTCTCAGATTACTGGACTATCATGTTTGACCTCTCTACTCCTCCTCCTTACCAGGGGTTTATAGTGTAAACAGACAGAACAACATGGAGTAAACAGCAGTGGACTCACGTTCCCATGAAAGCTTACAGACAACTTGCTCCAATTTTTTGGGCACCATAGGGCTATCTAACCTGTTTCTATACAGACATTGATTTGTTTGCTGTTGTTATTCATCCAAGGATGTGAATCCTAGAACAAATCAGGTGTATATCACCAATGTTGAATAGAACGACTAAACATTTTTTACAGTATTAAACCATCACCTATAGATTGTGATTTAATGTTGTTGATTGATGATGTAACTGACACCAAAGCCCAGTGGCGTGTGTGTGACATGTCCTTGAGATATTGTGATGATCCTGATGTCAGTGAGAGTTGATAGAGATCAGGAGAGCCATAGAGTGTGAATTCCCACCGTTGAAACATAAGTACTCTCCTGTTGTGTATAGGGGCTACTGCTGACTGAGACGCAATGCATTCAACAAATGACTGAAGTGTGGTATTGATTGCTGCTTTACACTTTATACACAAACCCAATAACATTATGCTTTTCCACTTGCAAATAATGTGGATCAACACAAAACCACATACAGTACCAGTCAAAAGTTTGGACAAACCTACTCATTCCAAGGTTTTTATTAAGTTTTTACTATTTTCTACATTGTAGGATAATAGGGAAGACATCAAAACTATGACATAACACATATGGAATCATGTAGTAACCAAAAAAGTGTTAAACAAATCAAAATATATTTTATATTTGAGATTCTTCAAATAGCCACCCATTGCCTTGATGACAGCTTTGCACACTATTGGCATTCTCTGAACCAGCTTCATGAGGTAGTCACCTGGAATGCATTTCAATTAACAGGTGTGCCTTCTTAAAAGTTAATTTGTGGAATTTATTTCCTTCTTAATGCATTTGAGCCAATCTGTTGTGTTGTGACATATACAGAAGATTTGCCCTATTTGGTAGAAGACCAAGTCCATATTATGGCAAGAACAGCTCAAATAAGCAAAGAGAAACAACAGTCCATCATTTACATTTTTACATTTAAGTCATTTAGCAGACACTCTTATCCAGAGCGACTTAAAAATTGGTTCATTCAACTTAGGATAGCCAGTGGGACAACCACCAACTTTGTATTTTATACTTTTTTTTAATGGGTGGGTGGGGGAGGGGGGGGGGGGGGGGGGGGGGGGGTAGAAGGACTACTGTTATACTATTCCAGGTATTCCTTAAAGAGGTAGGGTTTCAAGTGTCTCCAGAAGGTGGTCAGTGACTCCACTGTCCTGGTGTCCGCCATTGGGGTGCCAGAGCAGTGAATAGCTTTGACTGGGCTGAGCGGGAACTGTGCTTCTGTAGAGGTAGGGGGGCTAGCAGGCCAGAGGTGGATGAATGTAGTGCCCTCATTTGGGTGTAGGGTCTGATCAGAGCCTGAAGGTAAGGAGGTGCCGTTCCCCTCACAGCTCCGTAGGCAAGCACCATGGTTTTGTAGTAGATGCGAGCTTCAACTGGATGCCAGTGGAGTGTGCGGAGGAGCGGGGTGACATGAGAGAACTTGGGAAGGTTGAACACCAGACAGGCTGCAGCGTTCTGGATAAGTTGTAGGGGTTTAATGGCACAGGCAGGGAGCCCAGCCAACAGCGAGTTGTAGTAATCCAGACGGGATTTGACAAGTGCCTGGATTAGGACCTGTGCCGCTTTCTGTTTAAGGTAGGGTCGTACTCTGCGAATGTTGTAGAGCATGAACCTGCAGGATCGGGTCACCGCTTTGATGTTAGCGGATCCGACATCCACACTGATATGTCTGCCAGACATGCAGAGATGCGATTCGCCACCTGGTTATCAGAAGGGGGAAAGGAGAAAATTAATTGTGTGTCGTCTGCGTAGCAATGATAGGATAGCCCATGTGAGGATATGACAGAGCCAAGTGACTTGGTGTATAGAGAGAATAGGAGAGGGCCTAGAACTGAGCCCTGGGGGACACCAGTGGTGAGAGCACGTGGTGCGGAGACAGATTCTCGCCACGCCACCTGATAGGAGCGACCTGTCAAGTAGGACGCAATCCAAGAGTGAGCAGCGCCGGAGATGCCCAACTCGGAGAGGGTGGAGAGGAGGATCTGATAGTTCACAGTATCAAAGGCAGCAGATAGGTCTAGAAGGATAAGAGCAGAGGAGAGAGAGTTAGTTTTAGCAGTGCAGAGAGCCTCCTTGACACAGAGAAGAGCAGTCTCAGTTGAATGACCAGTCTTGAAACCTGACTGGTTTGGATCAAGAAGGTAATTCTGAGAGAGATAGCAGGAGAGTTGGCTAGAGACGGCACGCTCAAGAGTTTTGGAGAGAAAAGAAAGAAGGGATACTGGTCTGTAGTTGTTGACATCGGAGGGATTGAGTGTAGGTTTTTTGAGGAGGGGTGCAACTCTCACTCTCTTGAAGACGGAAGGGACATAGCCAGTGGTCAAGGATGAGTTGATGAGCGAGGTGAGGTAAGGGAGAAGGTCTCCGGAGATGGTCTGGAGAAGAGAGGAGGGGATAGGGTCAAGCGGGCAGGTCGTCACAAGTTGCAAGATTTTATCTGGAGAGAGAGGGGAGAAAGAAGTCAAAGCATAGGGTAGGGCAGTGTGAGCAGGACCAGCGGTGTCATTTGACTTAGTAAATGAGGATTGGATGTCGTCAACCTTCTTTTCAAAATGGTTGACGAAGTCATCCACAGAGAGGGAGGAGGGAGGGGGAGGAGGAGAGGATTCAGCAGGGAGGAGAAGTTGGCGAAGAGCTTCCTAGGTTTAGAGGCAGAGGCTTGCAATTTAGAGTGGTAGACAGTGGCTTTAGCAGCAGAAACAGAGGAAGAGAATGTAGAGAGGAGGGAGTGAAAAGATGACAGGTCCGCAGGGAGTCTAGTTTTCCTCCATTTCCACTCGGCTGCCCGGAGCCCTGTTCTGTGAGCTCGCAATGAGTCGTCAAGCCACGGAGCAGGAGGGGAGGACCGAGCTGGCCGGGAGGATAGGGGACATACAGTGGGGGAAAAAAGTATTTAGTCAGCCACCAATTGTGCAAGTTCTCCCACTTAAAAAGATGAGAGAGGCCTGTAATTTTCATCATAGGTACACGTCAACTATGACAGACAAAATGAGGAAAAAAAATCCAGAAAATCACATTGTAGGATTTTTTATGAATTTATTTGCAAATTATGGTGGAAAATAAGTATTTGGTCAATAACAAAAGTTTCTCAATACTTTGTTATATACACTTTGTTGGCAATGACACAGGTCAAACATTTTCTGTAAGTCTTCACAAGGTTTTCACTCACTGTTGCTGGTATTTTGGCCCATTCCTCCATGCAGATCTCCTCTAGAGCAGTGATGTTTTGGGGCTGTCGCTGGGCAACACGGACTTTCAACTCCCTCCAAAGATTTTCTATGGGGTTGAGATCTGGAGACTGGCTAGGCCACTCCAGGACCTTGAAATGCTTCTTACGAAGCCACTCCTTCATTGCCCAGGCGGTGTGTTTGGGATCATTGTCATGCTGAAAGACCCAGCCACCTTTCATCTTCAATGCCCTTGCTGGTGGAAGGAGGTTTTCACTCAAAATCTCACGATACATGGCCCCATTCATTCTTTCCTTTACACGGATCAGTCGTCCTGGTCCCTTTGCAGAAAAACAGCCCCAAAGCATGATGTTTCCACCCCCATGCTTCACAGTAGGTATGGTGTTCTTTGGATGCAACTCAGCATTCTTTGTCCTCTAAACACGACGAGATGAGTTTTTACCAAAAAGTTATATTTTGGTTTCATCTGACCATATGACATTCTCCCAATCCTCTTCTGGATCATCCAAATGCACTCTAGCAAACTTCAGACGGGCCTGGACATGTACTGGCTTAAGCAGGGGGACACGTCTGGCACTGCAGGATTTGAGTCCCTGGCGGCGTAGTGTGTTACTGATGGTAGGCTTTGTTACTTTGGTCCCAGCTCTCTGCAGGTCATTCACTAGGTCCCCCCGTGTGGTTCTGGGATTTTTGCTCACCGTTCTTGTGATCATTTTGACCCCACGGGGTGAGATCTTGCGTGGAGCCCCAGATCGAGGGAGATTATCAGTGGTCTTGTATGTCTTTCCATTTCCTAATAATTGCTCCCACAGTTGATTTCTTCAAACCAAGCTGCTTACCTATTGCAGATTCAGTCTTCCCAGCCTGGTGCAGGTCTACAATTTTGTTTCTGGTGTCCTTTGACAGCTCTTTGGTCTTGGCCATAGTGGAGTTTGGAGTGTGACTGTTTGAGGTTGTGGACAGGTGTCTTTTATACTGATAACAAGTTCAAACAGGTGCCATTAATACAGGTAACGAGTGGAGGACAGAGGAGCCTCTTAAAGAAGAAGTTACAGGTCTGTGAGAGCCAGAAATGTTGCTTGTTTGTAGGTGACCAAATACTTATTTTCCACCATAATTTGCATATAAATTCATTAAAAATCCTACAATGTGATTTTCTGGATTTTTTTTCCTCAATTTGTCTGTCATAGTTGACGTGTACCTATGATGAAAATTACAGGCCTCTCTCATCTTTTTATGTGGGAGAATTTGCACAATTGGTGGCTGACTAAATACTTTTTTTCCCCACTGTATGTAAAATTTGTTGGTAGCTTAAAGGTTAAATGACTGATTATGCAAGTGCAACAATGATTTAGTATAGAGAGAGAGAGAGAGAGAGAGAGAGAGAGAGGGGGAGGGAGAGAGAGAGAGAAGAGAGAGAGAGAGAGAGAGAGAGAGAGAGAGAGAGAGAGAGAGAGAGAGAGAAGGGCATGTTTAGCAGCATGAGTGAAGGAGGCTTTGTTGCGAAATAGGAAGCCGATTCTAGATTTAACCTTGGATTGGAGATGCTTAATGAGAGTCTGAAAGGAGAGTTTACGGTCTAACCAGACACCTAGGTATTTGTAGTTGTCCACATATTCTAAGTCAGACCCGCCGAGAGTAGTGATTCTAGTCGGGCGGGCGGGTGCAAGCAGCGTTCGATTGAAGAGCATGCATTTAGTTTTGCTAGCGTTTAAGAGCAGTTGGAGGCCACGGAAGGAGTGTTGTATGGCATTGAAGCTTGTTTGGAGGTTTGTTAACACAGTATCCAATGAAGGGCCAAATGTATACAAAATAAAAATCTTAGAATCAACTATTAAAGACTACTGGATTCTCCAATTACATTGAATGAACTACAGGACAAAATACAAACCCTCCAACCCAAAAATGCCTGTGGGGTTGATGGTATCCTAAATGAAATTATAAAATATACAGACCACAAATTCCAATTGGCTGTACTTAAACTCTTTAACATCATCCTCAGCTCTGGCATATTCCCCAATATTTGGAACCAAGGACTGATCACCCCAATCCACAAAGGTGGAGACAAATTTGACCCCAATAACTATAATATAATAATAATAATAATATGCCATTTAGCAGACGCTTTTATCCAAAGCGACTTACAGTCATGCGTGCATACATTTTTTTTTGTGTATGGGTGGTCCCGGGGATCGAACCCACTACCTTGGCATTACAAGCGCCGTGCTCTACCAGCTGAGCTACAGAGGACCGTGGGATATGCGTCAACAGCAACCTTGGGAAAATCCTCTGCATTATCATTAACAGCAGACTCGTACATTTCCTCAGCGAAAACAATGTACTGAGCAAATGTCAAATTGGCTTTTTACCAAATTACCGTACGTCAGACCACGTATTCACCCTGCACACCCTAATTGACAAACAAACAAACCAAAACAAAGGCAAAGTCTTATCATGCTTTGTTGATTTCAAAAAAGCTTTTGACTCAATTTGCATGAGGGCCTGCTATACAAATTGATGGAAAGTGGTGTTGGGGGGAAAACACATGACATTATAAAATCCATGTACACAAACAACAAGTGTGCGGTTAAAATTGGCAAAAAACACACACATTTCTTTCCACAGGGCCGAGGGTGAGACAGGGATGCAGCTTAAGCCCCACCCTCTTCAACATATATATAGAAACAAATTGGCGAGGGCACTAGAACAGTCTGCATCACCACACCAAATTGAGACTCTGCATGCAGAATTCTGCAAAAATATCCTCTGTGTACAATGTAAAACACAAAATAATGCATGCAGAACAGAATTGGGCCGATACCCGCTAATTATCAAAATCCAGAAAAGAGCCGTTAAATTCTACAACCACCTAAAAGGAAGTGATTCCCAAACCTTCCACAACAAAGCCATCACCTACAGATAAATTAACCTGGAGAAGAGCCCCCTAAGAAAACTGGTCCTGGGGCTCTGTTCACAAACACAAACAGATCCCACAGAGCCCCAGGACAGCAACACAATTAGACCCAACCAAATCATGAGAAAACAAAAAGATAATTACTTGATACATTGGAAAGAATTTACCAAAAAAACAGAGCAAACTAGAATGCTATTTGGCCCTAAACAGAGAGTACACAGTGGCAGAATACCTGGCCACTGTGACCGACCCAAAATTAAGGAAATCTTTGACTATGTACAGACTCAGTGAGCATAGCCTTGCTATTGAGAAAGGCCGCCGAAGGCAGACCTGGCTCTCAAGAGAAGACAGGCTATGTGCACACTGCCCACAAAATGAGCTGCACTTCCTAACTTCCTGCCAAATGCATGACCATATTAGAGACACATATTTCCCTCAGATTACACAGACCCACAAAGAATTCGAAAACAAATCCAATTTTGATAAACTCCCATATCTATTGGGTGAAATATCACAGTGTGCAATCACAGCAGCAAGATGTGTGACCTGTTGTCACAAGAAAAGGGCAACAAGTGAAGAACAAACACCATTGTAAATACTACCTATATTTATGTTCATGTATTTTCCCTTTTGTACTTTAACTATTTGCACATCATTACAACACTGTATATAGACATAATATGACATTTGAAATGTCTTTATTCTTTTGGAACTTTTGTGAGTGTAATATTTACTGTTCTTTTTTATTGTTTATTTCACTTTTGTTTTTATCTATTTAACTTGCTTTGGCAATGTAAACATATGTTTCCCATATAAATAACTTGAATTGAGAGAGAGAGAGAGAGAGAAAGAGAGAGAGAGAGAGAGAGCGAGAGAGAGAGAGAGAGAGAGAGAGAGAGAGAGAGAGAAGAGAGAGAAGAGAGAGAGAGAGAGAGAGAGAGAGCGAGAGAGAGAGAGAGATAGAGAGAGAGAGAGAGAGAGAGAGAGAGAGAGAGAGAGAGAGAACAACACGAAGAGTTATCTATCCAAAACAGAGATGTATGGATAAACCACTTTTCCAATCTTTTTGGCCCTATAACAAAGAACAAAGAACAAACAGCAAAAACATAGTGAGTGAGTGAGTGTGAGTGTGTGAGAGAGAGAGAGAGAGAGAGTGAGAGAGAGAGTGAGTGTGAGAGAGATATAGAGAGAGAGAGAGAGAGAGAGAGAGAAGTGAGAGTGAGAGAGAGAGTGAGTGTGAGAGAGAGAGACAAGTGTATAATCTGTCAGTGAGATTAGGTGAGGACCCTTATGTTAGGGATACATGCTGACTACACCGGCCACGGGCTCGTGCACTGATTTAGTCAACCCACACCAGACCTTATAATGACATGCAGATTAAAATATCAGAACCAACTGTGAACCAACTATATTAATTTGGGGGCAGGTCAAAACACACATGAAACATTCATGGACATGTCCTGGGAGATGAACATTGGGTCGTTATTTTACCTGACATCTATAATTTTGACCTGGAGTCATACAAATTGTGTATTTCTCTACTCCGACAATTAATCCACAGACAAAAAGGTAAACCTAGTTCGTTTTTAGTTAGTTGATCTTGTCCACATTCTGATTGTGCCCACCTTTTTCAGACAGGTGTAGTTGATTAAAAGATGCATCTTATAAGTGTAAACAGACAAGTTCAGGTCAAGATCAGGACGAAGGACGCATGTTAATGGCAGGTATAAACAGGGCTCTAGAGAGTGACAACCCACCACTATGAAACCTAAGCACTCATCTGTTAGTTATAGGGGCTCTGCATGCGTTGTGATAATGTTTTCACACTATGGCTATACCGCAACACACATACACAAAAATGAATAAAAACACAACAGGTGAATTGATCATATAGAAAAATCCTTTATTTATTTGATTGACATGTTTAAAAGACTGATTATGCTGGTGTAACAATGATTTAAGATAATTTGAGAGAGAGAGAGAGACGTTCACCCCCTTGCCCTCTCATCCTCAGATGGGGTTGGACCACAGAAAATCCTTACATGTCTCCAAGTCCAGCCTTGTCTCCAAGTTTGGTATTGCATTGAGTTCTATACAGACAGACAGACAGACAGTCAGACAGACAGACAGACAGGTATGGAAAGCAAAAAACGATTGCACATACACACACACACACACACACACACACACACACACACACACACACACACACACACACACACACTGTATACTCACTATTCAGGTTATATTTCCTGCAAAAGCATTTCATCAGTTGCTTTCTCTCTTGAGGGGTTTTGAGTGACTTGCGGCAGATCTCTCTCCCAGTGGGAAGAACTGGAGAAAGAATGGCATCCACAGTTCTAAATTACACACATCTCTTTATATTCATAGCAGATTCAATAAGTCATCATAGGTATGCAAGTGAGGATGATGATGATGATAACCTTTCCCAGGTTTGTAGGAGACTACAGAATTAAGTTTAAGTTTGAGTTCAAGTTCAAGTTTATGTTTTTAATTAGGCAGTGGTTTTAACTTGCAGTAATTGCTTTATAGTCAACAAATACAATGAATCTGTCATCATTGGCATTTATCATTTACAGCACTTACTAAATAGACATGCTCACCTTTGCACCGACACTTACTGAGCACGTCCCTCACAGACCATTTGGCAGAAGAGACTATACACAGAGTGGAGAAGAGTTAACTTAATCATTGGTCCCATTTTGTCATAAATGTTGAAATACTGAAACAATTCATTACTGAGCAAACCTTGAGAAAACAGACCATTGAAAAGGTGTGAAATTAATTCACTGTAAAAGATAGGTTAGTCATTGACCTAGTGATGTTCAGGTGTGATAAATCTATCTGTACAGAATTGACTACATGCAGGCATGAAATACTTTGCTGTTTAATACAAGTGCACTGCTGGAAAAAGTATGCAATTGTCATACTTGAGTAAAAGTAAATAATACCTGAATAGAAAATGACTCCAGTAAAAGTGAAAGTCACCCAGTAAAATCCTACTTCAGTAGTATAGCCAGGGGCACACTCCAACACTCAGATATAATTTACAAATTAAGCACGTGTGTTTAGTGAGTCTGCCAGATCAGAGGCAGTAGGGATGACCAGGGATGTTCTCTTGATAAGTGCGTGAATTAGACAATTTTCCTGTCCTGCTAAGCATTCAAAATATAACAAATAATTTTGTGTGTCAGTGAAAATGTATGGAGTAAAAAGTACATTATTTTCTTTTGGAATGCAGTGAAGTAAAAGTAAAAGTTGTCAAAAATATAAATAGTACAGTAAAGTACAGCTACCCAAAAAAATGACTTAAGTAGTACTTTAAACTATTTTTACTGAAGTACTTTACACCACTGTTCAAGTGTGACATAAAGCTGATATCACCTATATTGTAAACCCACATATAGTATTCTGCATATTCACCTGTGTTAACGCACCAAATTGAGACCAGGAAGACCAGTAGGAGAGTCACACAGATGATCTTGGACATGATGGCAGCCGTGGACACTGGACAGAGTAGAGCAGTGCTGTGTCTCTTTTCTTGGTAATGTAGTGTCAGTGTGTTCAAGTGGAATAGTAATAGTAGTAGTAGTGCCTTGGTCTTGGGAGGAAAGCTCAGAGCGTCTGCTCCTTTCTATCCGTAGCCTTTTATTTTATATTGTAATCTCAGGCAATAATCACCCAACCCTCACCTCTCTGTGCGTCTTATTTGTGCAATAGCCGGAGAGCTAGAGAGATAGGTTTGGACAGGCTTTAGGGGCTTTTTGTTTTTCTCTGCCAATGTGCATGCCTTAACATCTGATATGTGACGATGATGGAGATAGATAGGGCAGCACAAGAGGATGTGAAACACAAACACCTATGAAGGCCCTACTTCGGCCAGCCTAGATGACTCAAGAGTTGTTGTGGTGGTTGTGGAGCCTGATTAGTGCTGTGTTTCTATTCATCTGGCAAAGATTAAATCCACTAGGAATCTGCAATTACAGTTACAATCTGCAAGGTGGATGATCATTGTCCAATCTTTAGTTTTTGCTTTTTTACCGATTGGTTTTTCAGTCTGTAAGTATTCAAAAGCAAGGTATAGGCCTGCAGGGTTGGGTAGGTTACTTTCTAAATGAAATCCGTTACAGTTACTAGTTACCTGTTCAAAATTGTCATCAGTAACGTAACTTTTGGATTACCCAAACTCAGTTATGTAATCTGATTACTTTATGTTACTTTCGGATTACTTTCCCTTTAAGAGGCATTAGAAGAAGACAAAAAGGATCCATCAAACGCATTTGGTGTATCATCATAGTGGTCTCTGACTTGTGGTCAGACTCGCTCAGGTGGAACAAACTTTAACTTGCGCCTCTTTTCAATGCTGAATTGAATGATATTGAGGTTTACAGAAAGGTGTCATAATGTTTTTAAAAAATGATTTACATCCTTTCTGAATTAAAAAGTAATCCAAGAAGTAATCATCTCGTTTTTTAAAAAAGTATCTGTAATCTGATTACAATATTTTGGCTGGTAACGTAACTGATTAGAGTTACCGTTTTTTGATAATCAGATTACATGTAACTGTAAGCAGTTACTCTGCAACCCTGGACCTGCACATTTAAAAATGTCAATTTCTTAACTCTGATCATATCTGTTTACTTACCCGGAATATTCAGTCATGGTTGGCTGACATTGAAAGGTTTTTTTTGGTCATTGGGGCCTAACTCTTCTGAATGATAGAACAAACATTTGTTATTCTCTCTGCATCTTATGAAAACTGTGAAATCAGATCACATTAGGCCTATTATTATTGTGTTATAAAGTATTTCTTAATGAAATAGTAACATTGTATTTTCTACATAGGCCTAAAGACCCTTTACAAAGCCTTTAAAGATGCTAAAGGGCTACCAGGAAATGTTGTCATTTGACCTCAATGCATCTGGCAGACACGAGCAACTAACTCCACGAGTCACTTATTTTGTGTGGTTCACGCATCATTCATTACGCATTGCGTGGATGGAGCGGGTAGGTTCTAGTTAAGTGATAATGCCCGAGAAGCCAGTGTTTGGAGGATATATTGGCACAGGTGTTGTTAGGCCCGAGATGAAGTCGAGGGCCAGCAAACCATGCCAATATATCCTCCAAACACCGGCTTTGAGGGCAATATCACTTTTATACAACGGTTACCAACATACTCAAATAATGATTTACATATTTTTATTAAAAACATATTTTTATTTTTATTATTCATTCTATTTCATCCTTCCACAAGATATACAGTGGTGTGAAAAAGTGTTTGCCCACTTCCTGATTTCTTATTTGTTAGCATGTTTGTCACACTTAAATGTTTCAGATCATCAAACAAATTTTTAATATTAGTCAAAGATAACACAAGTAAACACAAAATGCAGTTTTGAAATGAAGGTTGTTATTAAGGGAAAACCTAATCCAAACCCACATGGCCCTGTGTGAAAAAGATTGATTGCTTGATTGCCCCCTACAACCTAATAACTGGTTGGGCCACCCTTAGCAGCAACAACTGCAATCAAGCGTTTGCGATAACTTGCAATGAGTCTTTTACAGCGCTGTGGAGGAATTTTGGCCCACTCATCTTTGCAGAATTGTTGTAATTCAGCCACATTGGAGGGTTTTCGAGCATGAACTGCCTTTTTAAGGTCATGCCACAGCATCTCAATAGGATTCAGGTCAGGACTTTGACTAGGCCACTCCAAAGTCTTCATTTTGTTTTTCTTCAGCCATTCAGAGGTGGACTTGCTGGTGTGTTTTGGATCATTGTCCTGCTGCAGAACCCAAGTTCGCTTCAGCTTGATGTCACGAACGATGGCCGGACATTCTCCTTCAGGATTTTTTGGTAGACAGCAGAATTCATGGTTCCATTTATCACAGCAAGTCTTCCAGGTCCTGAAGCAGCAAAACAGGCCCAGACCATCACACTGCCACCACCATATTTTACTGTTGGTATGATGTTCTTTTTCTGAAATGCGGTGTTACTTTTACGCCAGATGTAATGGGACACACACCTTCCAAAAAGTTCAACTTTTGTCTCGTCAGTCCACAGAGTATTTTCCCAAAGGTCTTGGGGATCATCAAGATGTTTTCTGGAAAAAATGAGACGAGCCTTAATGTTCTTTTTGCTCAGCAGTGGTTTTCGTCTTGGAACTCTGCCATGCAGGCCATTTTTGCCCAGTCTCTTTCTTATGGTGAAGTCATGAACACTGACCTGAACTGAGGCAAGTGAGGCCTGCAGCTCTTTGGATGTTGTTGTGGGGTCTTTTGTGACCTCTTGGATGAGTCGTCGCTGCGCTCTTGGGGTAATTTTGGTCGGCCGGCCACTCCTGGGAATGTTCACCACTGTTCCATGTTTTTGCCATTAGTGGATAATGGCTCTCACTGTGGTTCGATGGAGTCCCAAAGCTTTAGAAATGGCTTTATAACCTTTTCCAGACTGATGGATCTCAATTACCTTCTTTCTCATTTGTTCCTGAATTTCTTTGGATCTCGGCATGATGTCTAGCTTTTGAGGATCTTTTGGTCTACTTCACTTTGTCAGGCAGGTCCTATTTAAGTGATTCCTTGATTGAGAACAGGTGTGGCAGTAATCAGGCCTGGGTGTGGCTAGAGGAATTGAACTCAGGTGTGATAAACCACAGTTGAGTTGTGTTATAACAGGGGGGGCAAACACTTTTTCTCACAGGGCCATGTAAGTTTGGATTTGGTTTTCCCTTAATAATAACAACCTTCATTTCAAAACTGCATTTTGTGTTTACTTGTGTTATCTTTGACTAATATTTAAATTTGTTTGATGATCTGAAACATTTAAGTGTGACAAACATGCAAACAAATAACAAATCAGGAAGGGGGCAAACACTTTTTCACACCACTGTAGTCCCGACACAAATCTAGGGTTGCTACCCAAGCTGGCTGGTCATTCGTTCTATCGGTTCGGTTGCCAGAGACGTGACCCAGTCATTCAGTCTTTTTGTTCTGTATCTATGGACGCGACCCAGTCGTTCATTCTAAATGTTCCATTGCCATACTGGCTGGCAACGTTCTTATCACTACGGCTAACTTAAAGTGATGTCAAAAAGTGCAGCCAGAATAACAGCAAAGTAGGTGCATTTGCATTTGTTTAAGCTGTTTTCTAGTGACATTTATTTGGATACATCCATAACAATGAACTAATGAGGTGCTATTTCACCTGGCATAGAAAATGTGCTCTCTTGTCAGGACAGTGTTGTTCAGAGGAGCTAGCCAACAACACAGCTAACACAATCACTTCAAACTGAAGCTGGAAAGACAGCAAACTAGCTGCACTTCGTTTCATTTGACCTGTTTTCAATTGATGGTTCTTTGTATGTATCCATACAAATTATGCTGATTCATGATTTCGACTGGCTGAGAAAAGCTGCCTGTCTGTCTCATCCCGACTCCCGACACGTTCATTACTATGTGACAGCTGGAGATTGAATTTGAATATTGAAACAATGTTGCAAATGTTGGAGAGACAGACAGCAAGGTTTATACAAATCTCCACTGTTGAAAACGAAATGTTAGTCTAAAAGAAATATGAGATAATGTCTAGATGCTTTTTATAGTGGAGATCAAGTTTATAAATTGCCTGGCTGGGCTGATGAGACAGTGGATTGCGCAGTCAGATGGAACAGAGTAAATTGGCATTTTAATGTCATAGATTCAGTCAGTGGTAACTTGTGGAATAGACACCGGCTGGAATGCGGTTTTAACCAATCAGAATTAGACCCACCAGTTGTATAATCTAGTACACCTATCAATCATTAATTAATTTGTGACAAAGTCCCTCATAGTGATGTGGGCAGAGCAGTGTGTACTAGTCAGTCACAACACTAGGAAATCCCCCATTTACGCAATTAGGGTTAAGTGCCTTGCTCAATCAAGAGCACATCGACAGATTTTTCACCTAGTCGGCTCGGGGATTAGAACCAGCGACCTTTCGGTTACTGGCACAACGCTCTTAACCACTAAGCTACCTGCCGCCCCCAGTGAGAGTTATGACAGCATGTGAACGGACATTTCCAACAATGGAGTTGTATCGACCGTGCAGAACATGGCAGCGTAGCTTGTAGTGTTGTTTGAGTCAAATCAGAGATGGTTAGCGAGCTGGTCTGTCGCCAGTATTGTGGAATAATTAGAATGTTTGTAAGTGGCGGCATGCACACTCAATTTGTGCTAACGACATTAGACCTATATCAGAGAAGAAGAAGAAGAGTTACGACAGAAAGTGCTGGTCCTTTAAGTGGAGACTTCCTGAGACAAGCGTTACAAGAAGGAACGTATAAACAACAAGCGCTGATCACAACGACTGATCTTTAAGGTAAGATACTAGATACTATGTTTATAGATATGAGACACAGAACTTCTGTTAGTGATAAGGAAAATGGCAAGCTCTCTTATAGCAAGCCCAGGCAGGCATGGCAATATTTGAGCATTGACAATACATGACAAACACTTTACTTTAACACTATAGTCCAATTGTACAGGCCTATGTTTCTGTGTACAGGTAGGTCACTATAGAATCAATGTGCTAAGAAGGCTTATGGTGTGAGTAAGAAACTATGCAAGAGACTTAATTCGTCCATTCTGTTGTTTCAACTGCAAACGAGACACTCCCGTTTTGCGCACTCGATTTGACCAGAACGCAGGCACGCAACTGTTTCATGGGAGAGGCTATACGGACACGCCTGGTGCCCAAATTGATGACTTTTGTCGCGCAGCGAGAGTTGGGACGAACGTATTCGGTTCAGTCAGTCGCCCCGGTGAGCCCTTCCCAGCTTGCTAGTTATTGTTGTGGCTAGAAACTTCAGCGAGAATTTGAAACTTGTCTGCAGAAGTTGGGACTTGGGAATGTTCAGTATCACTTTTTTTTTTTTTTTTCCGGACTAGGCCTGATTGTTCGTTTATTGTATTTATTTATAAAAAATGTAACATCAGACATTATATGCCGTAGTTAAACATTTTTTGCTATAAATCACTTCAATCAATGTACTTGAGCTGTCACCCTGGCCTGGTATTGGCTACACTGTCTAGCGTAGGCCTACTTCCCACTCCTTACTGCGGGAGCGAACAGCGAAGGACACTGTTTCCCTGTTGTTGTGTTGTCGGCTTGGCAGCCAAACTCTACCCATTGAGCAGTGTAGACTGTATCACGGTGACATCCAGATGGTTACTACCAATATTACAAGTTATTTCTCGTGTAGGCTGCTATCCTACTCGAAATCAAATCAAGTGGGATGGAAGAAATTGGAGATGGTGAGAAATAGGCTACAAAGTTATTTTCCCCTCGCCCATCGAAATAAACATCACTTCTTTCACACTTTTTAACTAGCTCCATGCTGCTTTTGTTGACAGCTAGCCAGCATAAACTAACTGGGAAGGGCTTATAAAGGACGACTGATTGAACAGAATCCAGCTGCGCGTTTTACGTCGTCCATTTGGGCACCAGGCGTGTCCGTATAGCCTGTCCATGTTTTCATGGCAACTATTTTCCCATCTGCAGGTTGTGTCGAAGTGCTATTTCTGCTGATTTCGCTCATCAACAATCCCAGAACACTGTTTAATACCATTGCGGAATTAAACCCAATCTCGGCGACGTGAGAAGAGAATCAAGGAGGACATCTAGTGGA